CATCTCCACTGGAAACAAGGGTTCTAGAGCTTTGATTAAATTAAGTTTTAAATTTTGACTTTAAAAAGCATATCCCTCTCTCTATATGCCCCTCAGAGACTTAGCCTTTCCCCTGGATAAGCAGCAACCACCAAGGCAGCAGAAGACAGTAGCTGGGACCTCTGCCAGGCTAAAGATAACATCTTGATCTAAGTTACATTTCACTCCTGAGCTCCAAGGTGGAACAAGCTTCTGGCTATTTCCCATAGGACTGGACAGAGAGCCCCCGGAACAGACCTCAGGACTGTCCTCTAAGACCTGAAGAGATGATTCATTACTGTTACCTCCCCTCCAACCAATCAGCTCCCAGCACAAACACAGAACCCCCCAACCCACAGTATCTTGTGATTTTGCCCTACATAATCTGTAACCTACATGCTGAGGAGTTGGGGTTTTGAGCATTCGCTTCCCGTTCTCCTGGATAGTGCCATTCATCAATAAAACAGCCAACTTCTTTCCAACTTGGGCCTAGCAAATGGTTCCCCCACAGAAAGAAGGTGGCGAGAAGAAGGGCCGTTTTGCCATCAACGAGGTAGTGACCAGGGAACACACCATCAGCATTCACAAGCACATCCATGGAGTGGGTTTCAAGAAGTGTGCCCCTTGGGCACTCAAGATCCAGAAATTTGTCATGAAGGAGATGGGGACTGCAGATGCAGCACTGACGCCAGGCTCAGCAAAGCTGTCTGAGCCAAAGGAATAAGGACTGTCTGTCCCATACGGTATTAGGGTGCAGTTGTCCAGAAAACATAATGAGGTTGAAGAGTCCCCAAACAAGCTTCTATATGTTGGTTACCTCTGTACCTGTCACTACTTTCAAAAATCTACAAACAGTTAACGTGGATGAGAACTAACTACTGATTATCGAAGAAAGTTATAAAACTGCAAAAATAAATTGTAAAATAAAAATAAATAAAATAGTGTTTCTCTACTACAGTTCTGTTTTGTGTTTGGCTCTGCTAGTGCCAGGTGGACAAACTCTTTCTGGTCTATAACACCACTGGTCACATTGAATTTTACTATAGTATTTGTTCTTATTTTTCTCCTCTTGAAGACAGAGATCATGTTAGAACAGACAAAATAATATAAAACCATGGCATGGCAATTTGTAAACAACATTCCACAAAGTCAATCTTGCCCCTCTTCAAAGCCCTGGGGAGTGCACATCCCCAAAACTAGCCCATTTGTATAAAAATGAACACCATGGTGCCCTGGCCAGTCTGGCTCAGTTGTGTGGAAGATTGACCTGTACACTGGAAGGTCGAGGATTCGATTCCTGGTCAGGGCATTAGCCCAGGTTGCGGGTTCAGTCGGGTTGCATACAGGAGGCAACCAATCGATGTTTATCTCTCCCATTGATGTTCCTCTCTCTCCTCTCCCTTTCTCTCTCTGTAAAATCAATTAGAAAACAACAACATATCCTCAGGTAAGGATTTTAAAAAAAGTGAACACCTTGGTGAAAGACTTGATCCATCCTAATGCAATTAAAGCAAGCAGCTGAAATAAATTTTCAACTTAGTTTCCACAATGCTTTTTGCCTTTGTTAAATTACCAGGAAAGTGCAGGCACACTTATTGTGGACAATCACATCCATTCCCTGTACTGCTTTGCCCAGAGAAATCCAGCCCAACATGGTGACATTGGAACAATTCACCTATATTTTCTCTTGCAAGATAAAGAAAACAGAATCATTCTGCCTTGCTCCAGGAAGAAAGGCAGGGCCGTCCCCAGGGCCCGGAGAATGCCGTTCGGTGCAGTGTTTCCCGGAGTTTTCTGGCCCAGGGACAAAGCACATTTACTAGTTCGGATGGATCAACACTGTCACCCAGTGGACAGACAACTAGGCAGGTTGACGCCTTAGCACTGCCCTTGGCTTGACAGCCAGACACAGGCAGCCAGGGTTTGAATAGGAGCCTGTTTATTTTAGGTGATCACAAAAGTTAATATTCTCTAACAGGGAACTGGGAGGACCTCAGCTGACAAGCCTTTGATTTGGATATCACAGATGAGTTATGTTTAAGGAGGACAAACACTCCTATGCTCCCACTGTGCTGATGCTTTCTTTTTCTTTGCTTTCTTTTATTTTTTTTTTTATTTTTTAACCATCAGTAAATTTATAGGAAGCACAGACTATAAACCAGCCAAGCGAGTCTGCCAAGACTCACAGGATCAAACAGGCCTGCTGGAGTACGGTGATATTTGATCACAGGCCAGGTACTGTGGGGAGACTTCCTTACCACAGAATAAGACTCATTGTCCATTGTTCAGAGGGACAAGGATGTGTATTTTAAAGACTGAAAATAGATTTTTGTGTGTATTCGGATTGAATTCTGAGGAAGGCACTTGGTTTACTCCAGTGAAACCAGTGGAGGAGCCACCCTTGCTTTCTCCGTTTAGTGTGTATCTCAAAAGACATGCACAGGTCTAGCCTCTGCCCCATCTCCTTTGTGCTCCTCTTTTTCTTGTCTAAAATGTCATTTGACACTTGTAATAAACTGGTTTACTTTTTATATTAAGGTAAGAGGCTCTTTGCCTTTCATGCTAGTCCCTTTCAGGCAGTCTTGTCTCCCCAGCTGGAACTCATCAACAGGGATCCCGGCGTCTGGTATCACTTTAGACTTCTTAAGAATGCCTGCAGCAGTGGGAGCTGAGACTTCTCCTTGTAGGCATTCTTGTAGAATCTCATGATTAAAAGCAAAGTCTCTGCTTATGGTGAGAAAATTCGGGTTTGAACGCTGACTTCACTGCTTGCTAGCTTCTTGACCTCACACAGGTCACTTAATCTCTCTAGTGTCAGTTTTCACCTCTACTTTCAGGGATAATATCAGTACCTACCTCCTGGGTTGTGGGGATTTAGATAAAAAAATACATATGAATAACTTAGCATAGTACCTGGGCACATAAGAAAAAGCTCCATAAATATTAGTGTTAGCATTATCAAATTATCATAGCAGTAGGATTTGTTATATTCCTAAAAAGCAACTTTAATAAAGTACCTCTAGACTAGCAGATGAAATCATGGCATTTTTTTAAGCCGGAAGGGTCCTGAGAGGCCATCTAGTCCATTGCTTCTCATTAAAATGACCCAGGGAAGCTTTTAAAAAACACTGATATCCCAAATAGCCAGATAAAAGTATACTTATGGTATGAATCTTTTAGGTGAAATTCTAGAAAAGGCAAACCTGATCTGATCTGTAGTGACAGAAAGCAGAACAGTGATCATCTGGGGATGAGGTTGGAAGGTCTTACAGCTAAAGGGCTAAAAGAAACCTTTTGGGGTGATGGCAAAATTTTCTATCTTGATTGTGGAGGTGGTTACACCAGTGTATACATTTGTCAAGTCATACATTATATACATAAGTGCATTGTATTGCATATAAAATATATCATCATAAAGTTGATGTAAAGAGGATCCTGGGGCCTGGCCAGTGTGGCTCAGTTGGTTGGGCCTCATTCTCACACCAAAGGGTCAAAGGGTCATCAGTTCGATTCCCATTCAGGGCACATACCCAGGTTGCAAGTTTGATCACCAATGGGAGGCAACAGATGGATGTTTTTCTCTCTCTCCCTTCCATTTCTCTCTAAAAAAAAAAAATCAATTAAAACATTTAAAAAAATTTTTTAAAGAGAGAATGCTGGGTTTCACCCACAGAAATTCTGATTTAATTGTTCTAGTGTGAGGCCCAGAAATATTTTTTTTCATGCACCTAAGGCATCAGCCAGGGTTGGGAGTTACTGGTCTAATCCAGTCCTCTCCTCTTCCAGTTGAGGTTAACCCAAACACATACAACTGGTTAGAGTGGATGGTGTAGGACTAAAAACCAAGTCTCCAGGTACCTTGTGTTCCAAACCTTCCCCTTTACTAATATTCCCTTCTCCCTGAAACTTCTTTCTCCTCCTTCTTCTTACCTCTATCAAAATCCCTCCCGTCTTTGGATCCCAGCTCACATATTACAAGAAGTCTCAGGTTGCATCTCTCCCCATTGGACTAGGAGCTCCTTGTCAGGAAGGACTGTAGCTTTTTTATTTTTGTATCCAAGCAGACATTCAATAAACATTTGTTGAATAGAAAAATTAGTGGAAGGAAATTAACATTTATTAAATGCTCACGAGATGCCAAGAATTGAAATAAGTGCTTTATGCACATTATCTCACTGAATTTTTACAATTTTATAAATTGGTTATCATTTCCCCTTTTGTAAGATAGCAAACAGGCCCAGAGAGGCTTAGTAATTTGGCCATGGTCACATAGCAAAGAATGTAGTAGGACCAAGGTTTGAACTCAGGTCTGTTTGTTTTTAAAGTTCATGCTTTCTCTACCAGATTAGGCTGTCTCATTTATGGTAGTTACTCTATTCAGTCTTTTTTCCCTTTTTATTGAATTTATTGGGGTGACATTGGCTAATAAAACCATACATATTTCAAGTGTTCAACTCTATAACACAACATCTGTATACTGTATTGTGTGTTCGCCACCCCAAGTCAAGTCTCCATCTATCACCAATTACCCTCCCTTTACCCTCCTCCACCTCCCAACCCCATGTGCCCCCTAGCAATCACCACACTATTATTGTCTATGTATTTAGTCTTAAATTATGGATCTTCTATATCTTATCTCCTTAATTAGGTTATAAGCTTCTTAAACACAAGAATTAAAATTTAGCACTTATAATCCCATATTAATTCACAAGGTGAATTCTTTGGCCACCTCAGTGTTAACAGAGTATCTAATTTTTAACTTCATTAGAGTGATTGGCCATACAGATAATCTAACAGTTATAAGAAGACCTGCATTTATAAGAAGACCTCTAGTCAAGGGGGTACCACAGAAGGTTGTGATTTGAGCTGACCTATTTCCGCATTCTCTCTAGCCTTTTGTGCACTCTGTGAATGATCTCTAAGCCATGCAAGCATCATACACAACAGTCGGTGAAAAGGGCCATATGTCTCAAAGCACCTACCAAAAAAATTCCTGGAACGACATTGTGCCTTTGAACCAGAAGTGGATAATTGCTGCCTGTAAATTTAGATGCAGAGATTATGTTGTATTTGAGAAATCGAAAGGAATCCAAACGACTCTTTAAAAAAAGAAAATAAAAAGTGGTAAAGACATTATATCCCAGGTAACCAACCTTTTGTTCTATTCAGCAGTATTTGTATCTCTGAACCAATAAGTCTAGACTCTATTGCCACTGCTCCATTAGAAATGCCTTCATAAGCTCCTCATAGCCTTTGTATTGCCAACGCCAGTGGACATTTTCATGTTTCTTGTATTATTTGACCTTTCTTTGGCATTTGAAATTATCGAACAGTTCCCCCTTCTCACACTCTCTCCTGGGAGTCTGTGGCCCCACTCTTATGTTTTCTTCCCATTCCTCTCTATCTCCCATCCCAGTCTTTGTCAGGCACAGCTTTCTCTCTATTTGATCTCTAGGTATCTACTGTTGTAAAATCTCCAAGCTTGCCTCTTGCCATTCATTCTCTTTACACCCTCCTTGGGTGATTCATCATTGTAACTACTACTTGTGCCTACTAAATGCATGCAAAAACCTTTCCTCATCTCCTTCCCCCACATGAGTAAGTGTGGCCCCTTCTTCCCAATCCAATCACCTCATTGTATTCCACTCTTGCTCCCGAAGCCTCTTTCTACTCCACACCACTATGTGGCATGGTGAGGTGCTTAGGAGTACGGGTCCTAGAGTACAGCCACATGGTCTGAACCCCAGCCTCACCACTTCCTAACCGAGGAATCGTGGACAAGTGATTCACTGTCCTGTGTCACAGTAACAGACCTGTGCTCAATGGACTCATATGCAGACAAGCCAGCCACTTAGGATTCTTTTCTTTAAAATATATTTTATTGACAGCCAATTGGCCTGGAGGTCAAATCCCCCCCAGTATTACCTACAATAATCAAGGCTTAACTACAACAAGACTGTGCACAAAGACCAAAGGGGGGTGCACCAAGAAAGCATAAAAAATGTGGAGACAAAGAAACAGGACACAAATGACAGAAATGGAGGTAAGTAAACTGCTGGATATAGAGTTCAAAACCACACTTTTAAGGTGTTTCAAGAACTGTCTAGAAGCCGCTGATAAATTTAGTAAGGCCCTCAAAAAGACTGGTGAGACCGCCGATAAATGTAGTGAGATCCTCAAGAAATCAAGTGATACCCTCGATGTTGTGAAAAAGGACCAACTAGAAATTAAGCCTACACTGACTGAAATGAAGAATATTATACAGACTCCCAACAGCAGACCAGAGGAGCGCAAGAATCAAGTCAAAGATTTGAAATATGAAGAAGCAAAAAACACCCAACCGGAAAAGCAAAATGAAAAAAGAATCCAAAAATATGAAGATAGTGTAAGGAGCCTCTGGGACAGCTTCAGGCGTACCAACATCTGAATTATAGGGGTGCCAGAAGAAGAGAGAGAGAAAGATATTGAAAACCTATTTGAAGAAATAATGACAGAAAACTTCCCCTACCTGGTGAAAGAAATAGACTTACAAGTCCAGGAAGTGCAGAGAACCCCAAACAAAAGGAATCCAAAGAGGACCACACCAAGATACATCATAATTAAAATGCCAAGAGCAAAAGACAAAGAAGAAGCAAGAGAAAGAAAGTTAGTTACATAGAAGGGAGTACCCATACGACTGTCAGCTGATTTCTCAACAGAAACTTTGCAGGCCAGAAGGGAGTGGCAAGAAATATTCAAAGTGATGAATACCAAGAACCTACAACCAAGATTACTTTATCCAGCAAAGCTATCATTCAGAATTGAAGGTCAGACAAAGAGCTTCACAGTCAAGAAAAAGCTAAAGGAGTTCATCACCACCAAACCAGTATTATATGAAATGCTGAAAGGTATCCTTTAAGAAGAGGAAGAAGAAGAAAAAGGTACAGATACAAATTATGAACAACAAATACACATCTATCAACAAGTGAATCTAAAAATCAAGGGAATACATAATCTGATGAACAGAATGAATTGGTGATTATAATCGAATGAGGGGCATAGAAAGGGGATGGACTGACTATTCTTGGGGGGGGGAAGGGGTGTGGGGGATGCGGGAAGAGACTGGACAAAAATCGCGCACCTATGAATGAGGACAGTGGGTGGGGACTAAGGGTGGAGGGTGGGGTGAGAACTGGGTGGAGGGGAGCTGTGGGGAGGAAAAAAGAAGAACAAATGTAATAATCTGAACAATAAAGATTTAATTTTAAAAAATTATCTAAAAATAAATTAAAAAAATAAAATATGTTTTATTGATTTTTTTACAGAAAGGAAGGGAGAGGGATAGAGAGTTAGAAATATCAATGAGAAACATCAATCAGCTGCTTCCTGCACACCCCCTACTGGGGATGTGCCCGCAACTAAGGTACATGCCCTAGACCTGAATGAACAGAATGAACCTGGGACCCTTCAGTCTGCAGGCCGACGCTCTATCCACTGAGCAAAACCAGTTAGGGCTTAGGATTCTTTTGAGAATTAAAAGATGTTAAATGCTCAATAAATATTTGCTCTATTGATCTTATTCTGACTTTGCATTTCTGATCAGTTCAGCAAACATTGACTGAGTGTCTATTAGATGCCAGACGTTGGGGGAGCACTGTCTGCACCGAGGATGGCAGAGCCCTTGGGATTTAATGTGTATTGTCACTCCAGTGAGAAGTTGAACTCCTGATTTAGGTCTTGGTCTCTTATTCACTCTGCTTGTCTCTCTTCAGCGGAGACCTAGCCCAGTTCACAAGCTCACTGTCCTAGAACACCTCCCACGAGACCAAGAAAGAATTAGCAGTGACCATATACCCATATCCGACCCTCAGGCTGAAGAATCATTCACTCATTGATTGGTTCATTTATTCATTTGGCAAGTATGTTTTAAGTGTTAACCATGTGCTAGGCCCATGATAGGCATTGGGGCTATACTTGTGAACAAGACATTATCCTGCCATCAAGAACCTCCCAGCCTATTGGCAGAGGAATCCAGCTTCAAAGCAGGCTGGGAGGGTGGGGCTGCTACTCCCAGATCCTGTGCTCCCAAAACCCACCCCACACCCTCTGTGGCTCAGGCCACCCTTTCAGGAGCTTTATCTACACCCTTGCAGCTTCTACCAGAGTGTCCAGTGATTCCCACTGCTGTTCAGCTTCCAAGTACTGTTCAACAATTTCAGCACCATGCAAGAGGCCAGGGTCCCCTGGTTAGGTGGAATGAAAGAGAATGAATGCCAGGCAACCCTTCTGTAGGAGACTGAGGTTCTTGGGTGAGTTTTCTGTGTTTTATAACTGTCCACATTCTTATTTGGATTCCTTTAGGGTCCCTGGTACAGGATCATTCCTTTCCTTTTTATGATCTAATAAAGAATCTACTTTTTGGAAGCATAGGTTTCCTAGTCAGTTATGCCCGGACTCTCTTCACCTTCAAAGTTACAAAATGTCATATCACCTCCCTGCAAGATTGCTCTCAATTCTGCTAGAAAAAATAATCTTTCCTTAGTTAAAATTTATATTTTAAGTTGGGTTATTTGTTTACATGTTGCCTTTTAAGGAAAACACCTAAAGTGGTTTGAAGGAAGACTTGTGTAAGAGAAAATTATGAATTATAAAAATCATGATGAGAAGATTTCAATATAAACAGAAGTTCTAGATCCAAAAGAAAAAATGGGTTTCAGATAAGTGGTAAGTAATTTTTTACCCTATTGTTATAATTCAGTCTAAAACATTCTGTACTTTTTAAAAATGCATTTTTTTTTTTTTATTATTTCAGAGAGGAAGGGAGGGGGAGGGAGAGAGAGAAACATCAATAATGAGAGAGAAGGCACAATAGTCCGATCGGCTGCCTCTTGCATGCCCCCTCCTGGGGATTGAGCCCGCAACCCGGGCATGTGCCCTTAACCAGAATCAAACCCAGGACCCTTCAGTCTGCAGGCCGACGCTCTATCCACTGAGCCAAACCAGCTAGGGCTTGTTCTATACTTTAAGGCAAAGTGAAGAGAGGTACCCAGTAGGGCACCAAAATCTCATGGACAGGAAAGAGGGCACACACCAGATCCTCGTGGGGAGAAAAGCTTTCTAGCTTCTCATTCAGAGAGACAATTTCCACATTGGGCTTCACACAGGTTATACCAGGCCTGTAGCAAATAATGTAACACCCCTTAAAATAAGCACAGGGTATATTCAGGGCAACATCCTAAAAAGGCAACTTATTGGAAGCAGTTTGGCAAAGGGTGACAAAGCCCAACTCTCAGCTTTCACGTGCTTCAACCTGATGGAGAACAAGACCTGAGGGTCCCTAGCATTCTTTAAAGTCCCCCCTGAGGCTATCACTGAGGTTGAAGTAGGGATCTGAACATGCCTGGAAGAGCCCCAGTGGGAGTGGGCCCTCAATGTCAGGTAAGGAACTTGGACTTGACCTGAAGAGAAGGCCTTAGAGGGTTTTAAGCAGAATGATGCAGTCATCTTCAGATATTAAAAATAATACCCTGCAACATGTAGGAAATGTCAGAGGGACTAAGATCAGAAGCAGGAAAATTAGGCAACTTATTGGAGAACATCAGCTGGGAGATGGTAAAGGTCTAAAATAAGCAGAAGCAATGGGGTTGAAAAAAGGGACAACCAGGAAAAAATGTCTCAGGGACAGAATCGATAAGACATAAAGACTTATTAAATGTGTTGCAGGTAACGGCTATCATGTGGAAGAGGTTTTATGAGTGCCTACTTCAGACCTACTGGCAGAGGCTACTTGGAGTGCAATCAAAGTAAGAGTTTAGGGTCCAGTCTAGGCTCAGTTGACAAGAATGATAGATTAGTAATGTCTGCCAAGGATGCAGAATTGGAAGACGTTGGCATGACTTGTACTTACCATTTCCATTCTCTGGCAGAGGAAGCATAAAAATGTACTGTGTGTTTTGAAATGTGCACACTGTGTGATGCCATGTACTAGTATAGGAAGGCCTACAACAGACAAAAGTAGCTTATGGTGATACAAGTCAGAATACTGGTTACCTGTGTGTGGGTAGGTGGGTGGTTTATTTTTTTAAAAATATATTTTTATTGATTTCAGAGAGGAAGGGAGAGGGGGAAAGAGAGAAACATTAATGATGAGAGAGAATAATTGATTGGCTGCCTCCTACATACCCCCTACTGGGTATTGAGCCCACAACCCAGGCATGCACCCTTGACCAGAATCGAACCCGGGACCCTTCAGTCCAAAGGCTGACACTCTATCCACTGAGCCAAACTGGCTAGGGCTCTGTGGGTGGTTTATTGACTGAGAAGGCACAAGAAGCTCTTTGGGGCCTGGAAATAGTCTATTAGTATATCTTGCTCTGGATGGTAATTATACAGACATATACATATGTAAAAATTCACTAAGCTATATACCCTAAGACTTGTGACCTTTCTTACATAAGGTCAAACCTCAGAAGGGAGGGGCAGCATTCCTTCCATGAGCCTTAGTGTGGCTGAAGAACTGTATTAAGATATAACATACAAGTCAACATTATTTCACAATTTGTCTTTATACGCATGACACTCACCTGAGTACAAGGCATGTTTCTAGCTTTATTCTGTTCCCTGTACACTTTGTTCACTTCCTTCATAGTCTTGTCCTTTTCCTTAGCTGAGAACACATAGACTATAATAATCTGGTCCATGGAGGACAACTGCTGGTTTATAAGGTGATCATACTCCAGGTCTGTCACTTCGGGAACGCTGTAAGTGCTACATCGGCAAATGGGCCCTTCCTTCCTACAGAGCATTCTCCTTAGGACCACAGGACAAGCCAGATGGGGAGCAAACTGCCCATCCTTGCTCTGAATGGGAAGGGGAAGCCTAGAAAAGTAATGATAGAAATTGCAATTGAAGAACTAAAAGGACAGAAAGAACATACTTTTTAAAAGTATCAAAGAACCTAAGTGACTACTTTATTTTTATCATTATTGCTGTTTTTAAGAATTTGATTAAATCCCCCACACCTTTTTTTCACAATGAAAATACAGAGGAAAATAGCATTTCACATTGTATATACTCTAAAGTGGCTACTTTAGTAAAGCATTGAGATTTAATTCTGGACTGAATTTTATTTGCCAGCACATTAAAATACTTGTCAAGCCCAGCCATGGTGGCTCAGTGGTTTAGTGGCGACCTATGAACCAGGAGGTCACAGTTCAATTCCTGGTCAGAGCATATGCCCAGACTGCAGGCTCGATCCCAGTTTGTGTAGGGGACAGCTAATCAATGATTCTCTCTCATTATTGATGTTTCTATCTCTCTCTCCCTCTCCCTTCCTCTCTGAAATCAATAAAGATGTATTTAAAAAAAAATAAAAAATAAGCCCTGACTGGTTTGGCTCAGTGGATAGAGCATCGGCCTGTGGACTGAAAGGTCCCAGGTTTGACTCTGGTCAAGGGCATGTACCTTGGTTGTGGGCACATCCCCAGTGGGGGGTGTGCAGGAGGCAGCTGATTGATGTTTCTCTCTCATCAATGTTTCTAGCTCTCTGTCCTCTCCCATTCTCTCTGTAAAAACTCAATAAAAAATATTTAAAAAATAAAAAGAAATAAAATAAAATACTTGTCAATATACTAAAAGGATTAAATTCGATTCTTAGGTATGTTATATAGAAATATGTTATAATCCATAATCTATCAGGGTTAGAGGTTTATTTTATTTATCTATTTTTTAAAATATATTTTATTGAAAAGAGAACCAAGATGGCGTCATAAGGTACAAACCTGTACGTGCTGCCCCCCACAATAACATTAAAACCACAACTATAAGACAAAACAGCTATCATCCAGAACCACGGGAAAGCTGACCGAGTGGAAGTTCTACAACTAGAAGGAAAGAAAAAAAGCGCATTAAGACGGAGTAGGAGGGGAGCGGCACCAAGAACAGAGGTACAGAGGCGTGCGTGAGGCTGCTGCACCTGGGTGCACGGTTTCTTTCAATCGGAAGGGGATACAAGCTCTCGAACGCACTGAACTCATTTACGGTGAGACGCTGGGGTCCCAGGCTCCTACGGGGAGAAACGAGTCTGTCCTGCAGCGGGTCGGAAAGCTAGGGTGACTTTCTCACAGAGCTACTCCCGGGGATCTTTGTAGCGGTGGGGGCGGGCGGCACTTGGGGAATCGCGGAAACGTGATGACACCATTGTTTGCTCCACCTGGTGTCTTCCTGAGACCCCGCCCGACTCTATTCATATCCCCTGTCAAGCTGTGATCGGCTGCACAAAGGAGGCACCTGCACTTCTGCAGCCGAACAAACTGCAGCTAGATCAGAGAGCTCCAAAACTTCCAAACTACAAACAAAGCAGAGAAATCTGTTGGTATCGCTGTAGCAATTCTTCTTATAGGCACAGTGGGTCCTCGCAGTCAGCCAAAAATGCGAAGACAAAGAAACATGTCATAAATGAAAGAAATGGAGGAAAGCAAACGAATGGAGGACATAGAGTTCAGAACCACAGTTATAAGATTACTCAAGAATCTTCTACGAACCTCCAAGAAACTTAGTGAGACCTCCGAGGAACTTAGTGAGACCTTCAAGGACCTTAATGAGAATGCCAAACAAATGGAAAAGGACCAGTCAGAAATTAAACATACACTGACTGAAATAAAGAATAATATACAGAGATCCAACAGCAGATGAGAGGATCCCAAGAAAGTCAAAGACCTGAAATACGAAGAAGCAAAAAACACCCATTCGGAAAAGCAAAACGAAAAAAGAATCCAAAAATATGAAGGTAGTGTAAGGAGCCTCTGGGACAACTTCAAGTGTACCAACATCCGAATTATTGGGGTGCCAGAAGAAGAGAGAGAGCAAGATACTGAAAGCCTATTTGGAGAAATCATGACAGAAAACTTCCCCTACCTGATGAAAGAAATAGACTTACAAGTCCAGGAAGCGCAGAGAACCCCAGACAAAAGGAATCCAAAGAGGACCACACCAAGACATATCATAATTAAAATGCCAAGAGCAAAAGACAAAGAGAGAAAATCTTAAAAACAGCAAGAGGAAAACAGTTAGTTACCTACAAGGGAATACCCATATGACTGTCAGCTGATTTCTCAACAGAAACCATGCAGGCCAGAAGGGAGTGGCAAGAAATATTCAAAGTGATGAATACCAAGAACCTACAACCAAGATTACTCTACCCAGCAAAGCTATCATTCAGAATTGAAGGTCAGATAAAGAGCTTCACAGACAAGAAAAAGCTAAAGGAGTTCACCACCAACAAACCAGGATTATATGAAATGCTAAAGGATATTCTTTTTTTTCCTTTTTTCTTTTTTATTAGTTAAGGTATTACAAATATGTCTTCATCCCCCTGAAGGATATTCTTTAAGGGATAAATACCACATGATCTCACTCATTTGTGGAATATAATGAACAACATAAACTGATGAACAAGGACTGATCCAGAGACGGAGAGGCATTGATTGGATGTCGGGCCTTGGAGGGAAGGTAGGGGAGGGTGGGGGTAAGGGGGAGAGATCAACCAAAGGACTTATATGCAAACATATAGGCCTAACCAATGATATGGACAACGGGGGGGGCAGTGAGGGCATGAGCAGAGGGGGCGTGTAGGGGATAACGTGGGGATAAGGACACACATGTAATATCTTAATCAATAAAAAATATATATATGTATATATATTTTATTGATTTTTTACAGAGAGGAAGGGAGAGGGATACAGAGTTTGAAACATTGATCAGCTGCCTCCTGCACACCCCCTCTGGGGTTGTGCCTGCAACCAAGGTACATGCCCTTGACTGAGATCAAACCTGGGACCCTTCAGTCCGCAGGCTGTAAAGAACAGAAGTCCAACCTCAGTGACACTCTCTTGTTTTCCCCATGACCACTTACTCCTCCATCCCCACCTTTGTCTTGCCTGGGGTCCATCTCAGGTGAACATAGGGTGAACCAATATCAGAACCCCTGGAGAGGCATTCTGAGCATCCATGAATAATTCCAATGTGGCAGCTAGTGTGCAGTGAAATCATTAAAAGTTAGGTTTCAGGCTACAACCCTCTATATAAATTTTGGCTCAAGAAGGCATTTCAAGTTCTTGCCTTGAGCACCCCCACTCACACACACATACACACACACACAACCTCCTATCTCCAACACATTGCAATAATCTATATATATAAAAGCCTAAGTGATCAGCCAACCAGTAGCTATGATGCGCACTGACCTCCAGGGGCCAGATGCTCAACGCAGGAGCTGCCAAGCTGTGGTGACTTGGCAGCTGTGGTTCTTGGGTGATGCACCTGGAACCAGAGAGGAGGGAGCCTGATTCCGGGGTCCGTCACTTGAGAACATCCCTCTGCAATCCGGGACCCCTCGGGGAATGTAAGAGAGCTGGTTTCAGCTCCATCCCCACAGGCCAGGCCGGGGGACCCCACCAGTGCACAAATCTGTGCATTGGGCCTCTAGCCCACTGGCTCCCCACTTTGGGTCTGGCTCCCTACCAGGCATCTAGCCCATTGCAGAGGTCATGGGTCTGGCCCTTACAGAAACTTTTTGACTCAATTAGCTAAATGATGAGACATATAGGACCTACTGACTGCGCCCCCCCCCCCCCCCCCTCAATGTCTGGCACTCATGCTGGCCCATCTGCTTAATATGGATTTCCAGTGGAGGCAGTGAATTTTCCCGCTACCACTCTCAGCTGGGAAACAAGCCATGGCTTCCCTCCTTCCAGGGTGGACAGTAGCACCAGCAGGCAACCTCTGGGGAGGGAAGGAGGTGAAAGAGCAGCTCAGGTGGGAAGAAGGAGGTTCCAGCTGCCACAGGACTCCACCTGGGCTGAAGGGCCTGGCAGGAGCCTGATATTGAGCAGGGTCCTGCCTAAGCCGACTAGGTTCCAGGCTAAGTAATTCCTGTTTGCTTAAATAATTGCATTTTGCAGCTAAATGTCCACAAGTTGTCAGTTACCGCCAAATTTAGGGTAAAGTGAGATGAAAGAAGCAAGACAGATACAGAGAGAAAGTGACATAATATTGGGAGAAGAGAGGAGGGAGCCCGATTCCAGCCCATTTCAGGCCAGGCAGAGGGACCCCACTGGTGCACAAATCCGCGCACCCAGCCTCTAGTGGTAAAACAAACAATTGAAAAGATCAAAGCTGTCATCCAGGTCAAGATGAACACCTCTCGACAACTGTGAACAGCACCCACCAAAGGAGCTGCTACCAACTGAGGAGCAGCTGCTACCACAACCACCCGAGGAGCAACTGCAGCCTGAGGAGCCAATGCCACCCAAGGAGCAGCCACTGAATGACTCAACATCTAGATATGGCAGTACAATCAAACATGGGTAGACAAAGAAACCCCCAAAGGAAAGAAAAGGAGGACTCGCCAGAAAAGCAGCTAAGTGATACAGAGGCATGCAACATGACAGAAAAAGAATTCAGATAAAGGGTCCTAGAATGCATAAACCTGATGGAGGAAAAAATCAACAACTTATGCAAGAAGCAAGAAGAAACAGATGAAAAAAATCAATAAATTATGTAAGAACCAAGAAGAAATGAAGAGTAATATAGCTGCAACAAAAAACACCATTGAAAGTTTCAACAGTAGACTAGGAGAAGCAGAGGACCAAATTAGCGAATTAGAAGACAGGGAAACAAAACACACCCAAACTGAACAGCAATTGGAGAAAAAAATTAAAAGACAGGAGGAGAGCCTAAGGGAGCTATGGGACAACATGAAATGAAACAACATACGAATAATGGGGGGTGCCAGAACAACAGAAAGGGAACAAGGGTTAGAAAACCTATTTGAAGAAATAATATCAGAAAACTTCCCTGATGTGGGGAAGAAAAAAAATCACACAAGCACAGAGAGTCCCAAACAAGGTGAACCCGAAAAGACCCACACCAAGACACATCATAATTACCATGGCAAATGTTCAAGACAAAGAGAGAATCTTAAAGGCTGCAAGAGAGAGATGGAAAGTTACATTCAAGGGATCTCCCATTAGATTATCAAATGATTTCTCAATAGAAACACATCAGGCCAGAAAAGAATGGACAGAAATTTACAAAGCAAAGGACTGAATCCAAGAATACTCTATCCAGCAAGGCTATCATTCAAAATTGAAGGGGAAATAAGAAGCTTCACAGACAAAAAAAGGCTAAGGGAGTTTATCACCACCAAGCCAGCAATGCAAGAAATGCTAAAGGGACTGGTGTAAAAAGAAGAAATAAAAAGCTCAGAAAGAAAACAGCCACACACAAAAAAGAAATGGCTACAAACAAATACCTTTCAATAATAACTTTAAACGTAAACGGACTAAATGCTCCAACCAAAAGACATCGAATGGCTGAATGGATAAAAAAACATGACCCATACATTTGCTGTCTACAAGAGACCTACCTCAGAAGAAGGGACTCACACAGACTGAAAGTGAAGGGATGGAAAAATATCTTTCAGGCAAATGGAAAGGAAAAAAAAAAAAGCTGGGGTAGCAATACTTATATCGGACAAAATAGACCTCAAAGTGAAGGCCATAACAAGAGATAAGGAAGGCCATTTCATAATACTAAAGGGATCAATACAACAAGAAGATATAACCCTGATAAACATATATGCACCCAATGCAGGAGCACCCAAATACATAAAAAATCTCCTGGAAGATATCAAAGGAGAGATCGACAACAATACAATCATAGTAGGGGACTTTAATACACCACTGACATCACTGGATAAATCCTTTAGACAAAAAATCAGCAAAGAAACAGCAATCCTAAATGACTCACTAGATCAGATGGACTTAATTGACATCTTTAGAACACTTCACCCCAAAGCCACGGAATATATATTCTTCTCAAGGGCTCATGGGACATCTTCAAAGATAGACCACATATTGGGTCACAAAGTCTCCCCAAATTCAAGAAGATTGAAATCATACCAAGCATCTTCTCAGACCACGATGGCATAATATTAGAAATAAACTACAATAAAAACAACCCCCCCGCCACCCCCCCAAAAAAAGATGAACACCTCTCTGGATAGAAACTCAGTATGTTAGTGGGGCTAAAGCCATAAGTTTGCTTATTTCCTGAGCTAGAAACAACAAAAGTGGATAAGAATTTGGCTCTTGTGGGAAAACAGAATAAAATGCTCTTCTCAATACAGGGTGATGTAGAGTTGGGAATTGTTGCCTGGCTCACTTATTAAAACCAAGGCCCAGGGTAGGGCTCCCACCACTCTTTGCATGAGGCCAGAACAGCTGCTGTCTACTCCTGCTTGGCACCATGGCTCATAGGACACTTGAAGCTCAGGCAGGTTGGAGAACACAGACAAAGCCTCCCAACCAGAACTAAGCGAAGCTGTTTGCTGGCTTGGGACTGCGTCTGCAACATTCCTAATACTCATGGGGCAGGACACCCACCCCACCATTATTTGACCTGGTTCTAAATTTCTGAATGTGAGGCCTGGGGCTTTGGGGTGGTGGCAACTGAAAAATTACTAGAGAGGGAGGGAAAGTGGACACACATGCCATATGAAGAGAGGAAAAACCTTCCACTTGAGATGAGCCCAGAATCCAAAACACATAGAAAAAGCTAACTCTAAGAAAGACAAAACACAAAACTAATACTCAATAGATGGATTCACTATAGATAAAATAAAAATAATAGAGCAAATTAAACAGTACTTAAAAATAGGTATGTTTAGAATCTTTTAAAAAATATTTTTATTAACTTTTAGAGAGAGAGAGAGAGAGAAACATTGATTTATCGTCCCACTTACTTTATGCATTCATTGGTTGCTTCTTCTATGTGCCCTGACTGGGATTGAACCAGCAACCTTGCATATAGGGGAGATGCTCTAACCAACTGATTACTGGCCAGGGCCTAGTGCAGTGATGGTGAACCTATGATACGCGTGTCAGAGGTGACACACAAACTCATTTTTTGGTTGATTTTTCTTTGTGAAATGGCATTTAAAATATAAATTAAATATCAAAAATATAAATCTTTGTTTTACTATGGTTGCAAATATCAAAAAATTTCTATATGTGACACGGCACCAGAGTTAAGTTAGGGTTTTTCAAAATGCTGACACGCTGAGCTCAAAAGGTTCGTCATCACTGGCCTAGAGTCAGCTTTTAAGCAGGTGTTTCACTGAAGTGGTGAAAACAAACTAAGCCTTGATTCCTGGTTGATTCGAATTCCTCTGCTAAATAGGTAGCCTCTTAGGAAGCAGGTTGGAGAGAGCTGAAATGCTTGAACCTAGGCATGTAAGTCTGAACCAGTTTTAGGAAAGATTTTTCACTGATAGCATGCGAGTGTCAACACCTTGACCCAGCCTGCTCAGAAAGGACTGTGGTGTGAAGCAATGTAATAGCATGCCTTGCTCAGTGTTTGTGGGTGGACTGAATGAGACTGTTACCGAAAGCTTTTTCCAACATAAGCTGACTGTGAATTATTAAGACAAATGAGGCTGGTTACCTAAAGGAACACTTGCTGGCTGGAGTCTTCTGGATGCAAGGGAGAGGCGAAGGCTGAAAGACACCCTTCAGTTTTAGGAAGGTGTTTCGGTATAGAAGATACTCCTTATTCTCATCTTTTTCCTTTGTACTTGGTTTCAGAAGAAATTCTGCTCGGGAGACTTCTTGTTTCCTGACCACTTTTGGTTGAAACCTGGGCACTTTGCACACGTGCAGACATTCTATTCCTGAAATGTAAACAGAATAAACGTCACTGAAAACCCTAAGTGGACCAAGGTCTCTGTGGGCTGGGGTAACGCGGCTGCAATAATCCGGACACCCCTTCACCCATTTACAGCAGCGCCTTTCTGTGGGCTCCTTTTAGCGCACTTTGTGGTCTGCTCAGCGGATACATAGCATCTATGCAATAAACAAGGAAATGTCTAGGCTATCAACAAATCTAGTCCACAAGAGTTTGGTTATCTGTGCTTATCTTGTGCCAGGTAATGTGCCAAGCACCTTAAACACATTATCCCATTGAATCAGGGACACTAAATGGGGCGAATAGTCTTATTTTTATGATATCAGAGGTAAGTCCAAGTTCACCCAGCTAGAGAGAAGCAGAACCAGGATTTGAACATATCTATTTGATTCGGAAGATGGTGCTTTTACACCATGCTATAGACTAAGGCTTCCCAACTTCTTTTCATAAAGCAGAAAAGTGTAAACTATAAAGCCCAATACATATAGATTCTTATCATTAAAATGTGATATAAAAAAAGAAATCATGATAATTTGTATTGCATATCGTGGTGAATTTAGTAGGCTGCTTGTAAGTAGAATCAACTATCCCAGGGGCTAGATCACCTCAGCCCAGCTGCTCCCCTTAGGACGGAGAATTTCCGCTTTCAGTTCCTAAGTAAAACATTTGTGGTGTATCCTTTGGGAAGCTCTGCTATTTACTACAGTAAGTAGCAAACTACCTCCTAAAATGGAGAGGCTTGCCTTATGGATTAAGTATACAATTAATGCTAATTATTTGCAGATTCTGTTTTTGTGAATTTGTCTACTCACTAAAATTTATTTGTAACTCCAGATTAATACTTGTGGCCCTTTCATGGTCACTTTGCAAATGTGTAAAGTGGTGAAAATTTTAACTTGTGCTATGCAAGTTCCCAGTTGAGGTTGAACAAGGTGACACTCTGCCTTCTTGTTTCCACTGTTGTACTACAAACTTGTGTCCTTTACTTGTGTCATGGTCTGTTCAGGGCCATGTTTTACACATTTTTTTGTGATTTTTTTTTGGTGATTTTGCCATTTAAAATAGCCCACAAGCTTAGTGTTCCAAAGTACAAGAAAGTTTGATGTGCCTTATGGAGAAAATATCCTATCTAATAAAAGAGAAACATGGTAATTAGCTGTACGTCCGCTACCCTTCCCATTGGCTAATCAGGGCAATATGCAAATTAACTGCCAGCCAAGATGGCGGCCGGCAGCCAGGCAGCTTGAAGCGAACATGAGGCTGGCTTGCTTCAGTGACGGAGGAAACCAACGTTCCCTGCCTGCCTTGCTGGCCTATGAGCTTGCAGTTTGAAACATTGTTACAAATATAGAAGCTAAACAAAACCGCAGAAACTTGCTTTCAGCCAGCCGGGATCTCAGAGCTGGAGTTGATACAGTGTTTCGATTATAGAACCCACACAAACCAGATACCTGCTTTCAGCAGCAGAGGCCTCAGAGCTGGAGCCAGAGCTAAAGCTGGCCCAGAATAAAAAGAAAAAGAAAAAAAAGGAGCAGTTGGGAGCTTCAGTCACCTGCCAGCCTGAAAACAGCCCTCAGCCCCTCACCCAGACTGGCCAGGCACCCCAGTGGGGACTCCCACCCTGAAGGGTGTGTGACCAGCTGCAAATAGCCATCATCCCCTCATCCAGGCTGTGCAGGTACCCCAGTGGGGACCCCCACCCTGATCCGGGACACCCTTCAGGGCAAACCAGCCGGCCCCCACCTGTGCACCAGGCCTCTATCCTATATAGTAAAAGGGTAATATGCCTCCCAGCACTGGATCAGTGGAGCCGAGAGGCCTCCCGGCACCGGGATCAGTGTGACAGGGGGCAGCGCCCAAACCCCCTGATCGCCCTGCGGATCTGTGTGTGACAGCGGGTGGGACCACAACCTCCCTATCCGCCCTGCTCTGTTCGTGACAGGGGTGCGACACCCCAACCCCCGCCCCCCCCCCCCCCCCGCCCCACGGGCTCTGCTCTGTGTGTGACGGGGTAGAGCCATAACCTCCCCATTGGCCCTGCCCTGAGTGTGAGCGTGGCGGTGCCCCAACCCCCTGATTGGCCCTGCTCTGTGGGTGATAGAGGGCAGCACCCCAACCCCCCCCCCCCCCCCCGCCACGGGCCCTGCTCTGTGTGTGACGGGGTAGAGCCATAACCTCCCCATCGGCCCTGCCCTGTGACAGTGGCGGTGCCCCAACCCCCTGATCGGCCCTGCTCTGTGGGTGATAGAGGGTGGCGCCCCAACCCCCTGATCCGCCCTGCTCTATGTGTGACAGGGGGAAGTGCCCCAACTCCCCTATTGGCACTGCTCTGTGTGTGACAGGGGGGACCTCCCCAACCCCCTGATTGACCCTGCTCTGTGCGTGACAGGGGGGAGCTCCCCAACCCCCTGATTGACCCTGCTCTGTGCGTGACAGGGTACAGAGCCCCAACCCCCTGATTGGCCCTGCTCTGTGCGTGACAGGGGGTGGCGCTGCAACCTCCCCATCGACCCTGCCTTGAGTGTGACAGGGGGCGGTTCCCCAACCCTCCAATCAGCCCTACCCTGAGTGTGACTGAGGGTGGCATCACAACCTCCCAATCCGCCGTGCTCTGTGCATGACAGGGGGCGGCGCCCCAACTCCCCAGTCGGCCCTGCTCTGAGCCCGACCAGGGGTTGCGCCTAGGGATTGGGCCTGCCCTCTGCCACCCGGGAGCAGGCCTAAGCCAGCAGGTCGTTATCTCCCGAGGGGTCCCAAACTGCGAGAGGGCACAGGCCGGGCTGAGGGACCCCCCTCTCCTCCCCAAGTGCACAAATTTTTGTGCACCGGGCCTCTAGTGTATTAAATAAGCTTGGTTCAGGCATGAGTTATAGTGCTATTGGCCATACGCTCAGTGTTTGTGTATCAACAATATATGTTAAATAAGGTGTCTTTAGTCAAAAACACACATAGAATAAGGTTATGTATTGATTGGTTAATGAAAATATTGTGACCAGAGGCTCAAAGGTACCTCATCCTATGTTTTCCCTTGAAGCAATGGTTTGATATTCACTTAATTCAGTGTTTGCAGAGATGCTGTAGAATCTAACTACCATGAATAATGCAAATTAACTGTGTTATATCTCCAGTCAGGAACTGAACCCTAATAGACTCTAATCAAACAGCAGCTTTGCATTAACATCACATTACAACAGCACATTGCAGCGAGCGTACCCGCGCCTCTTCTCCACACAGCACATGAACAAAAGACATCAGCAAGGACTGAGGTTTTGGTGGTGAGACTGAGCGGTTGTACTTAAGGGGTAAGAGTATTTTAAGATCCAAAAAATGAGTGTGAAAACACCTCCTCTTAATAAAAAACACAGCAGTGGCCAGATAGATTAACTCTCCAAAGAGAGGAAGGATATAACATTAAGATTCCTGAAATGTAAACAGAATAAAAATTATTCTTTAATTTCTTGCTATGGCCAATCACCTGGATCCACGGTAAGAATCTGCATGTATTGCACTTTACAGTTTACAAACTCACCACCTCGGGAACCTTGGAAGGAAAAGGCATTTAAATGTTGGTCCTCTGAAAATCTGAATAATGGAAATGAGTTATGTGCAGCAACACAGTGGGTCCCATAACTGACCCAATGAAAATCTGTAGTAATCCAGCCAGTTAAATAGGATGTGCTTGGCTTTTCTCTGTAGTCTTCTTAATTTAATAACTGTCGCAATGTCAGACATAGGGCTTATGTCCATTGCTGTATCAAATGTAGCAGTATCCGCTGCACCTGACAAACTTGAACGCTTTAAAACATATACATATGAGAGAGAGAGAGAGATTACTATATGATTAGGAAACATAAATTCATTCATTTATTCATTTACTCATTCATTCATTCAGTAGGTTGTCCAAGAAATGCTTATTGGGTGTCATTTATGGGCCAGACAATGTACCAGAAACCAGGACTAAAGAAATACTACATAAAAGTCATGTTCTCTGTCTGGCCAGCATGGCTCAGTGGTTGAGCATTTACCTATGAACCAGGAGGTCACGGTTCTATTCCTGATCAGGGCACATACCTAGGTTGTGGGCTCATTTTCCAGTGGGGACATGCAGAAGGCAACCAATCAGTGATTCTCTCTTATCATTGATGTTTCTATTTATCTCTCCCTCTCCCTTCCTCTGAAATTGATAAAAAATTTTTTTTAAAAAGTCATGTTCCTTTGTGAATGTACTTAATGTCACTGAATTATGCATTTAAAAATGCTTAAAATTGAAACTTTTATGTTATGAATATTTTACCACCACAAAAAATGGAAGAAGAAAAGCTATGTCCCCTATGCTCAAGGTGCTCAGAGTCAATGGAAGAATTAGATATGTAAATATTATAACACAAGGGCTATGTTATTGATAAGCACAGTGTTACGAGAGCATAAATAGATTACTTAATGTTTGTAATACTGAGCTTTATTTAGCAGAAGAAAGTTTCAAAGTAGTACATCATGAGGACATTAGACTTTAAAATGGATAGTTATAGTGAGTAGTATGTGTGATCTTTACACAATAAATTGGGTATATAAAGTAGTTAGCTTTGAATGAGCTTATATGACTATGAAAATTGATGATAATTCAGTTTTATATACTCATTAAGACTCATAGATAGAGAATAGACTAACAGCTGTCACAAGGGAGGGAAGTTTTGGGACTGGGTGAAAATGGTGAAGGATTAAGAAAAAAAAACAATTCATAGACACAGACAACCATACGGTGATTACCAAAGGAGGGGTAGGGGGGAGGTAGAAGAGGGTACAGAGGGATATATGTGATAGAAGGAGACTTGACTTGGGGTGGTGAACACACAATACAATATACAGATGATGTATTATAGAACTGTATACCTAAAACCTATATAATTTTATTAACCAATGTCACCCCAATAAATTCAATAAAAAAGATGACTGGCAATGTTGAACATTTTTCTGTGTGCTGGTTGGTCATTCACATCTTATTTTGTGAAATATCTGCTCAAATCTATAGCACATTTTTGAAGGTTGTCTTATTATTGAGTTGTAAGAGTTTATGTACTTTGGATACAAGTCCTTTGTCAGATACAATATTAAGAATATTTTCTGCCTTTCTGTCGCTTGCCTTTCCATTTTCTCCATTTTCTTACTGGTATCTTTCAAAGTTTTTACTTTTGACAAAGTCAAATCTATCCAGTTCCCTGAAGTTTGTGTTGTGTTTTTTTTTGTAAATGAATGTAAATGCTGCTTTGGTCAATTATTGATGAACTTCATAGTTCTACAGACATGCCCTCCTAATTAACTTGTAGCTCTCATCTATCTGAGATCCTCACTACCTTAGTCCAGTCCACAATATCTTGGCTAGATTAGTGAACAATCTTATGATTGACCTCCCCACACTATATACCCAAATATTGCCCCAGGCATATAGAACAGTTCTCCACCTGAGTGAGTACATTCTTCCTTGGGGGCATTCAGAAATGTACATGGGCCTTTTGATTGATGGCACAACAGGCACTTAGTTTGTGGGGACCAGGGACACATTCTGAAATGTGCTAGATTGTCCTGCATAAATATGAATTATCTGGCCCCAAATGCCAACAGTGCCCACTTTAGAATTAAGGTTCTAATTAAAAAAATCTTAAATGCAACTGTTCATAGCAGCTTTATCCATAATAGCCAAAGACTGAAAAGAACCCAAATGCCCATCAAAGGGTGAATGAATAAACAAAGTGTAGTATATTCATATAAGGGAATACCAGTCAGCCATACAAAGGAAAAAACTACAGATACATCTGAAACATAAATGAACCTCAAACACAATATATTGAACAAAAGTAGCTAGACAGAAAAGAGTGCATATTGGTTCTTCCTATGTGAATGATTTTACACTAGAAATACAAAGCTAATTAACAGTGTCTGGAGTCAGGAACAGGGAGGACTGAGTAGAAAGGGATACATGGGAACCTTTCGGTGTGATAGAAATTATATTATGATTGCAGTGGCACTTATACAGATGTATACATTTGTCAACAATCATCAAATGCACACATTTATCAAAAATCATCAAATGCATTAAATGGATGCATTTTAATGTAAATAAATAATACTTTAATAAAGTAGATTTTTTAAAAGTTAAATATACCTGTGGTGAAAGAGGTGAAGGGATTAAGAAGTACAGATTGATAGTTACAAAATAGGGATGGGAATGTAAAGTACAGCATAGGGAAAATAGTCAATAATATTGTGATAACTGTGTATGGTGCCAGGCGGGTACTGGAAATATCAGGGGATCACTTTGTAAAGTATATGACTAGTTAACCACTATGCTGTACACCTAATATTAATACGAAATAATACTGAATGCAAACTGTAATTGAAAAATAAAATGTAGCCTTAACGGTTTGGCTCAGTGGATAGAGCATCGGCCTATGGACCGAAGGGTCTCAGGTTCAATTCCGGTCAAGGGCATGTACCTTGGTTGCAGGCACATCCCCAGTAGGGGGTGTGCAGGAGGCAGCTGATCGATGTTTCTCTCTCATCAATGTTTCTAACTCTGTATCCCTCTCCCTTCCTCTCTGTAAAAAATCAATAAAATATATTTTAAGGAAAATGTAAATTCTTTAAAATTAAGGAAATAAATAACTAAAATTAATTTGTGATGGATTATGGCATTATTAAAGAAAATACTTTATGAGGAAAATGGACACTTAAAAAAATAAATCTCTGCAATGAAACATTCTCCCTGTTGCTTGTGGAAACTGCAGATCTCTATAAGAATATATTATGTGTCCTTACCTCCTTTAAGGTAACAATAATAAAACAATTTATATAAAGACATTTTATCCCCCAAAGGCAAAAAAAAATAGAGATAATCTTGCAGTAATAAAATTGCTCACTTTTTGTGACTGGACAAAACAACTTTGTCTTTATGGACTCGACAAATGACTCAGACTCTAGGAGCCGGAATTCATAAGGGCACTTATGGGTGCCTGTATCGCTGTCTACTCACTAGGCATTACTGGGCAAGTGATAAAAATCTGGGTTTCTCTATGATACTGTACATTTGTGTGCTGCTTTTTTTTAAAAAAAAAAAATCACAATATTAAATTGTTTAATTTTTGTAAAAAGAAAAAGTTAAATGCACACTTCACACAGATTAGGATGGCTACTATTTAAAAAATACACAAAATAACAAATGTTGGTGAGGATATAAAGAAAGTGGAACCCTTGTATACTGATTGTGGGACTATAACATGGTGCAGCTGATATGAAAAATAGTATGGTAGGTCTTCAAATACTTAGAAATAGAATTTCCATATGATCCAGCAATTCTACTCTGGGAATATATCCAAAAGAACTGAAAGTAGGGTCTCAAAGAGATATTTGTATACCCATGTTCATAGCAGCATTATTCACAATGGCTAAAATATGGAAGCAATCCAAGTATCCATCAACAGATGAATAGATAAATAAAATATGGTACTAAAATATAATGAAACTAGAAGCCCAATGCACAAAATTAGTGCAAGGGGCTCAGCCCTCACAGCCCTGGCTTCGTCTGGAAGGTCATCCAGACAGTCATTCGGCTGTTCAGTCTAATTAATATATTAGCTCTTTATTATATAGCATATTATTCACCCTTAAAAAGAAAGGTAATTCTGACACAAGAGACAACATGAATGGACTTTGAGGATATTATGCTAAATGAAATTAGTCAGTTACAAAAGGACGAACACTGTATGATTCCGCTTAGATAAGGTACCTAGAATAGTCAAATTCATAGAGATAGGAACTAGAATGGCAGTTGCCAAAGGGTGGGGTGGCAGGGGAATGGAAAACTGTTGTATAATGGGTACAGAGTTTTCATTTTGCAAAATGAAAGAGTCTGGAGATAGATGGTGGCAATGATTATATAACAATGTGAATGTACATATGCCACTGAACTGTATAATTAAAAATGGTTAAGATGTTTTTAAAAAAGATAAACACAAACAAAGAATCAAACAAATAAATACAAACAAAGAGTCAGCATATGTTCCTTTTAGTGATTATGTGAATGGACCTATCTGTGTTCAGTAACTTGGTCCTTTTTCTAAAACAAATCCAGCCTATGTTGAAAGAAAAAAGTAACTAGAATAACATGAAAACTTAAATCCAATATCAAAGTAGTGACTAATTCACACTTACATCTTTGATCTGAGTAATGGATTTCATTAGCTTGCACTTCATTTTGTAGGCCTTGAATAGCTCCCTGGCTTCTTTGGAGATGGGATTGACATCAGGGAATGGCTGAGAGAGATTGTAAACTCAGATGACATGGCTCATAAAAACCCAGAGAGGCAAATAGCATGATATTAAAGGCATATTTATAGAAAAACTATATAATTCCAGTATTTGTGAAGTAACCATGGTAATTCTAAAGCAAGCATGTCAAACTTGCAGTCTGAGAGCTGCATGCCTCGTTTATTTGGCCCATGTTAGCTTTTGAGTTTGACATGCTTATTTGAAAGAGTAACAAAGTTCTGATGCCAGTCCCTAAAAATAAAGATCTTTTACATGTATTCATACACATTTTGTAATATGTGTGCCATTCACATAAACGCACTCAAAATTTTAAAAGTTTGATCAAAGCCCTAGCAGGTTTGGCTCAGTGGATACTAGTAGAGCATCAACCTGTGGACCAAAGGGTCCCTGGTTCGATTCCGGTCAAGGGCATGTACCATGGTAGCAGGCTCCTCCTCAGTCCAAGCCCTGACAGTGCTCATTCAGGAGGCAACCAATCGATGTGTTTCTCTCACATCGATATTTCTGCCTTTTCCTCTCTCTTACACTCTCCCTAAAAACCAATTGAAAAATATACTCAGGTGAGGATTAACAACAACAACAACAAAAAATAAACAAATAAAACATTTTTTTAAAAGTTTGATCAAAGCTCACTACTTAAATATATGAAATTAGAGATACTAATGTTTTAGTGTCTTACCTCTTGGTAAACAAAAGTTTTAGCCTAAAATTTCTCAACAGAGATTAAGTGCAACTGTAAAGTGATTATTAAGAGAAGTTATTCTGAGCCATAGTTTTAGCAATGCTCTAACATCGCCAAGTGTTTTTGGAATATTAGTTATGCTTAAAAAATACACCTTAAATTGATATAGTTTCTTTTAGTTAAAAAACAACGATATCTGAGCCCTACACTGCTTTTAAGAAATCATAGATTACTAGTATATAAATGCAAATAATTCAACTTTTTAAGACACAGGAAGTTAATTCTCCAAAGCTTAGGAATCATGGCCTTAGAAAAAACTAGGTCTTCATTTTTCTCCCAACTCTACCTTTATCTTCTAACCTCTCCTCTTCCCAAACTTTCAGTTATTTCAAGTAAGGTCCATAAACAGCTATAATAGCATCCATATCGTAGAAATCACTGGGAAATACTGAAAATTAAGAATCTAAAATCAGTGAACATTGTTCCTGCTCTGGTCTGTGCTAAGGTGCCATCATGTAGATGATTGAAGAAATCTCCGGACCTACTGTCTCAGGGGTGTGTGGAGGAAACGTGGAGGACCTGCATTTTACAGGTGCCAGAGACAGCTTTAGGCTTTGAGGATACCATTTGTAGACCAAGGAGATGGCAAAGCGCCCAGAAATCTTCACTGTGATGAATGCATTCACCTGGGGACAACAGGAAGAATTGTCATTTCCTGCACAGAATTCTCATGCTCATAATTCAGGTGGAAATCATAGACATTTACATGATGCCTGGAAGGAAATCTGAGATCAACATTCACAGGTAGCTTTAGTCTAATTTCATTTAGTCAGGAATGGGTTTTAGGTTTTATGCTAGAAGTTTGTTTGCCATGACATCTGCAGATTTGTACAGCATATTTAAAGGCTTGTGTAGATAAAGTATCCTCATTAGGTCAGCTGCTCTAAGCAGGCAAAGACTTTTGTTTGGTTGCAAGTTACATTCTCTTGCTTCCTGAAGGCTGCCAGCTGAGGTAATATGAACTAAATGACCTACCCCATGAGCTACCATGATTTTTCTAGACAAAGGGTGGGGAAACCCTGAGGGTCAGCAAACTTGCACATGCAGGCTTGCCTCTTACAGTTTCTTTACTTGCTCTTTACTTCCCTAGCCCTCCAGAACTAAGCAGTACTTTTTAAAAATAGCCATCTGAATAGTATATGTAGGATACACGGCCACCATGAACGATTCTGTAAATTCTATAGAATAGAGGCCTTAAGCTACTTCCCTACACAAGAGCCTGTCCGGTAAAAATATAATGTGAGCCACATAAATAACTTGAAATTTTGTAGTAGCCACATTAAAAAGAGCAAAAAGCAAGTGAAATTAATTTTAACATTTTATAACTAAAAATATCTAGATATTAATATATCCACATGTAACCATTATAAAAATTATTAATATGATATTTTACATTCTCATTTTTTGTACTATGTCTTTAAAATCTAGTGTGTATTTTACACTTACAGTGTATTTCAAAGGTTCCACAGGTGGCTAGTGGCTTCCATACTGAATAGCACAACTCTATATACATGGTGCCCTTAGGGGTTGGTGGTTCAGTGCACTATGTAAAGCGACCCTGCCCAGCTCGTGTGGCTCAATGGTTGAACATCTATCTATGCACAAAGGGGTCGCAGGTTCAATTCCCGGTTAGGCCACATGCCTGAGTTGTGGGCTCAAGCCCCAGTGATGGGCTTGCAGGAGGCAACCAATCGATGCTCTCTCTCATTGATGTTTCCCAATCTCTCTCTTTTTCCCTTTCTCTCTCATAAATATCAATAAAAACATTAAGAAATAAAAATAAAGTGCCCAGCCAGCTTGGCTCAGTGGTTGAGCATTGACCTATGAACCAGGAGGTCACTGGTTCGATTCCCATTCAGGGCACATGCCCAATTGTTGGCTCAATCCTCAGTGTGGAGCGTGTAGGAGGCAGCCAATCAATGATTCTCTCTCATCATTGATGTTTCTATCTCTCTTTCCCTCTCCCTTCCTCTCTGAAATCAATAAAAATATAATTATAAAGAAACAAAGTGATCCTGTATACAAAATGCAACACACACACACACACACACACAGTAACTTATATGAATTGAGAATGTCTAGCACCGAGGTTACAGACTGGCAGCTCAGAAGTTTTGGGTTTAGTCCTCTCAGAGTTTGAATTAATTGACAACTTTTAAATATCAAGCTATTTCACCAAAAATCTGAATTTATGGCTTTTTTTAAAATCATAAAAGATAGGGAAAACTAAGATGGCGGCATAGATAAACACCGGGAAATTTCTGCTTCCCACAACAATCGATAAATGCATCAAAAACACAAGGTGGACATCATCCAGAGCTACAGGAGGGCTGGCTGAGTGTAAATTCTACAACTAGAAGGAGAGAAAAGCACACTGCGAGCGGGAGGAGCTGCGGAGGTGGCGTGCAGAGGTACGGGGGCGCGCGCGCGGAAAGGGTCTGGCACCTGAGGACGCGGCTGTCTTTTTGAATCCGGAGGGAGACACAAGCTCCCGACGGCTCTGAAATCCGGTTCCGGGAAGTCTCTGGGGACCCAGGGCTCATACGGGGAAATACTGGACTGTCTGGCAGCGGGCGAGCTTGAGAGCGGCTTTCCCTCAGAGGTGCTTGCAGCCGTTGCCGGGACACTGGGACTCGCGACTCCTTAGGGCAGGGCTGAGGCTCCGCCATAGCTGCTTTCTCAGCCCTTTGATTCCTTGAGACCCCGCCCCACCCAGGCTGCGGCAGAGGCTTTTGCTTATGAATGCCCCGGCCATTTGCAACCTGTAATTACCTAACCGCAGCCGGGCCAGATAGACTCAGAGCTTCCAAGAGAAGGCCCAGGCCCCACAGCGGCTTGCATTGCTACACAGCTGAGCATCATCAGGGCAGCTGATTCTCGCTGCCAATTGCCCTGGAGGTCAATTCCTCCCAGTGATCCTACAACAACCAAGGCATAGCTACAACAAGACTGTGCACAAAGCCCACGAGGGCGTGCACCAAGAGTGTCCACCTCAGGTAACTGGGGAGGCTGAGCTACTGGGCCCTACAGGACACCTAGCACACAAAGCCACTCTATCAACACAGGGAAGCAACCAAAATGCGGAGACAAAGAAACAGGTCACAAATGGCAGAAATGGAGGAAAGCAAACGATTGGATATAGAGTTTAAGGCCACGGTTATAAGGTTTTTCAAGAATTTTATGGAAACCGCCGATAAATTTAATGAATCCCTCAATAAGTATAGGGAGACCATGGAGGACATGAAAAAGGACCAACTAGAAATTAAGCATACACTGACTGAAATAAAGAATAATTTACAGAGATCCAGCAGCAGAAAAGAGGATCCCAAGAATCAAGTCAAAGATTTGAAATACAAAGAAACAAAAAATACCCAACCGAAAAAGAAAAAAGAAAAGAGATTCCAAAAATATGAAGATAGTGTAAGGAACCTCTGGGACAACTTCAAGCATACCAACATCAGAATTATAGGGGTACCAGAAGGAGAGAGAGGGCAAGATATTGAAAACCTTTTTGAAGAAATAATGACAGAAAACTTCCCCTACCTGGTGAAAGAAATGGACTTACAAGTCCAGGAAGCGCAGAGAACCCCAAACAAAAGGAATCCAAGGAGGACCACACCAAGACACATCATAATTAAAATGCCAAGAGCAAAAGATAAAGAGAGAATCTTAAAAGCAGCAAGAGAAAGACAGTCAGTTACCTACAAGGGAGTACCCATACGACTGTCAGCTGATTTCTCAACAGAAACCATGCAGGCCAGAAGAGAGTGGCAAGAAATATTCAAAGTGATGAATAGCAAGAACCTGCAACCAAGATTACTTTATCCAGCAAAGCTATCATTCAGAATAGAAGGTCAGATAAAGAGCTTCACGGATAAGAAAAAGCTAAAGGAGTTCATCACCACCAAACCAGCATTATATGAAATGCTGAAAGGTATTCTTTAAGAAGAGGAAGAAGAAAAAGGAACTCTTACCATTTGCCACAGCATGGATGGAACTTGAGAGCGGATAAATACCACAGGATCTCACTCATTTGTGGAATATAATGAACAACATAAGCTGATGAACAAGGACTGATCCAGAGACGGAGAGGCATTGATTGGACTGTCGGGACTTGGAGGGAAGGTAGGGGAGGGTGGGGGTAAGGGGGAAAGATCAACCAAAGGACTTATATGCAAGCATATAGGCCTAACCAATGGACATGGACAACGGGGGGGTGAGGGCATGAGCGGGGGTGGGGGGCGTGGGGGGTAGAGGGTAACGTGGGGACAAGGACACATATGTAATATCTTAATCAATAAAAATATAAAAAAAAATCATAAAAGATAGCAAGCCCAAGCCCATATTCCCATGTGGTCACAGCCTCTAGCCCTGAGTAGAGGTTGCCTCTTCAGGGGATACAGACATCCCAGTCCACTGCAGTTCCACCTGGCAGGTTCACTCCTAATTATCTGAATGTTTGATCCTTGATCCTACAGAGACATATACTGAGCTGTCAACAGAGGTAATTTCTGCACAGTGAGACTGAGAGGAAGGCTTTCACTTTGAACATTGTATACTTTCTCATTTTTTTAAAAATATATTTTATTGATTTCTTACAGAGAGGAAGGGAGAGAGATAGTTAGAAACATCGATGAGAGAGAAACATCGATCAGCTGCCTCCTGCACACTCCCTACTGCAGATGTGCCTGCAACCAAGGTACATGCCCTTGACCGGAATCAAACCTGGGACATTTCAGTCCGCAGGCCGACGCTCTATCCACTGAGCCAAACTGGTTATGGCATATACTTTCTTATTTTAAAAATGTTTTATAGTAGGTACAAGTTTTTATAATAATAATTTTTAAACTACTGTTTAAGTAATTGCTGCTTAGCAAAGATAAATACATCATGAAAGGACAAAGTAAAGTCCCAAGTGAAGTAAAGAACTGAAATAAAGATTTACCAGCTTAGTTGGCTAGTGAAGACATCCAAACTGAATAACTCAGTTCTCTCAACCCTCCTTCTTCAATAGTATATTTCAGACCCTCAAAGAAAATTATGGTTAGAGAATAATAAATGACCAGAAAAATGATAAATTGTAAAATGTTACCGAAATTTCAACAGGATCATCAAGTTTTCCCTTTGAAGGCCATGCCCATTCTCTTACAATGTATCCATTTTTGTTGATCACCAGGCCTCCATCCTCATTAAACATCATTGATATTATTTGGCTGCCAAAAAAAGAAAGAAAGAAACATGACTCATTTACAAGAAACCTTCATGTACTCATTGATTTGGCCAAGGTGGTGGAAGTAACCAGGTCACAGCCTTCAAGAGGATGGGACTTCCTCCTATCACATTCTTGGAGGATGGTCACCTTGCCTCTACCTGAGTATCTCCCTTAAAGAGAACATTGGTATATACCTCTCATATGATCATGATCTCCCTTCTCTGAGACACATCCCCTTCCATTTCAGGAATGGACCCTGCTATCCATGATTATATACCATGTGGCCCTGGTGCCTTACTGTTGCTATTGAATCAGGGATGGACATCTGTCCCAGAACTTTGTTCCAAATGGATGCAATAATATATATAAAAGCCCATGAGGAAGGTGATGGGCACAGTGTATTCAAAGGACTGAAAGAAAACCAATGTGGCTAGAGTCCAGAGTGGTGTAAATGACACTGGATTGGCAGGTAGGAGCCAGATGTGCATGGCTCCCTTCTCCATATCATAAGTTTTGTGGTAAGAGCAAAAAATTATAGAAGGGTTTAATAACAAAGCAAAGAAGTGGCATGATCAAACAGATTGGTACATAATTAAAGTAAATGCCAGAGACTCATTAAGAGCTCACAGAGGTGGTCCAGGAGAAAGGACGACAGCTTGGACTAGGGCAGGAGTGAGAGAGATGGAGGCACATTCATGGATTCAAGAATCAACTAGGCTGGATAGATGGGATTTGGGTGATGAAGAACAAGGATGTAGCAATTTTATCTTCCCCATACTTTAATACAGGTGTATTAATGCAGCCTAGCATTTCATTAGCTTTTCTAGATGAGTAATATCACATTATGTGTTTATGTCTAAACCATCTTTGTGTCTTCTCTCTTCTCAGCACAGGACCTGGTACGGGGAGGGGCTTAATAAAAGTTTGAATTGCACTGATAGAATGAATTCAATTAAACAAGTACATATTGGTATCTTTTAGATGCAAGACTGTTCAGGCACTCTCAGGCATCTAGGGATGCCCACAGCAAGGTGCTCTCTCTGCACTCAGGACATTTTGAGTCCTGTGCTAATAATTATTTTGACAGACAGATAACATTTATTGGGAGTCTACTATGTACCAAGTCCTAAATACATGTTTTAACAGGCCATTGTTGCTTAATGGTTACAAACCATTGTAGAGCCAGATAGTTAATGGTATTGAAACTGGCTCTTCCATTTCCAAATTGTATGAATGTGGACTATTTCTTACATTTTCTGTGGTTCGGTTTCTTTATCTTAAAAATGAAAAAAACAATAGCATCTACCGCACAGAGCTGTTCTGAGGACTAAATGAGCTAATACGTATAACAGAGCCAGGCATCCTGTAAGTCCTTTAACAGTGTTGGCTTTCATTGACAATTCCATTTATAGGTATTATGAGCCCCACTTCCCAGCTGAGAACATGGATGGAGGGAAGTTAGTAAACAGAGTACCTGCCACCTAATAGAAAGTTCAACAGAGGGGCTCACCATTTAATGGAACAGTAACAGTTCACAGTATAAAAGGGGTGCTTTTGGCATAATTGATGAGCCCATAGTTCAACAGATATGCTAAAGGAGTGAAGCAACCAAACTAGAGAAATAAGAATAGAAGCCCTGAGCCTTGGACACCTAGAACGCATTCCTTTCTTGAAGAGTGCACCCTTTTACTCACCCTGGCCAGGCCAGCCTCCAGCTGTTCTCATTCCTGTGAGGCATCTCAGGGAAGACCTTAGCCATCCACCCCTGCTCTGCAGCAAAAGTTCTAGCTGCAGCAACAGTCTACCTGCCCGTGTGGCCTTTCCTATACACTGAATCCTTGCAACAAGGGTCCCAGTCCACACCTCCATTTAATTCATCTTCCTGAAGGTTCAAGTTGCTGAGCCTTCTTACCAAGACTCCCCTTTGGTGGGATGACAGATGCACAAGAGGAAGATCTGTTTAAAAGATCATTAACAGTGAAGTAATGAAATCCCTTTCAAGGCAGCTTTTTTGTTGTTGTTTTGTCCTCTCTTTCCTAGCTTTCAGTTATGCTGAAAGCAGACAGTATCCTCTGCCAAGGAATGGCCTGTGGTGCCCAGGATGAAATTACACAGGGCAGGACTTAGCTGTGAGGCTTAGCATTTTGGGCTTCTCTGAAGTTCCCAAAATATCATCAGCAGATGGTGTTGTATTCATCTGCTTAGTTACTGTTATCAAAGAAGACAAAGAGAGAATGATGAAGGCAGCCACAAGTGGGGGTGGGGGAGTTTTGTCATCTCCTCTTTGTTTCATGGATATAATTCTCACCTTGGATATTTAATTTTATGCAACAAATAACCAAGGAAACAATTCCCCAGTATAAACTAGACTCATTGGCAATATTAAAGTTTGATCAGGGCACTAAACATTCTAGTTTCTACCCAGCATCCACTCTCTATCCCTTCCTTTCTTTCTAACAAATTCCTATTCATTAAGCTCTTCACCTCTCACTGAGTTCATCCCCATTTACAGGGGTAGATGTTGAGTAGTCTAAGATCAAAGGTGCATGGCATTACCTTGGTTCAGGGGTGGGCCTATGATTAAGTTGGCCTAAAGAAACTGAAAGATAGGACATATAGTTTATTTTTGAAAAACAGCCCCCCTTCCACCCCACCACTAGATATGAAAAAGAAGATGTAGTGAGTGTCTTTGGTTGCCATCACGAGAACATTTGAAGAATGAATGCTACAAATAGCTAAGGGGAGAGATTTAAAGAACCTGGGTCTTTGATGGCATCATTGAACCATAAATTATGCTACATCTAGAGTCCATCCTATCTCCAATTTTAAATGGGATTTTTCTGTTACTTGCTATAGCAAAGCATTCTAACTCTACTTTCAGCAAAAAAAATATTCTAACTGCTGCAACCCCTGTGATTAAATATTTATGGCTGGCTCTCTTAAAATCCTGTCTGTCCCAGCCTCTCCAGCTACCCATTTTCAATAGCCTGACACAAATATTCCTAAAAGTCTTGTCCACTCATTATTCAATTATTCAAGTATTTAATAAGCACTCACTCTATACTGGGCACATTATTATGTTGGGGGTAGAGCAGTAAATAAGACACATGTGGTCTCTCCTATAAAGGAGCTCACATTCTAGTTGCACAGACCCAGTAAAAGGAAATTTAATTTTGAATTAAGATTAGTACTGAGAATAAATAGATAAAGTCATCACTAGAGTAATAAAAAGGAAAGGATGGGACTTAGACTGCTCTCACAGGGGCTACTTGCTTCTCCGGAGGACAGAACAAAGGCCTTCCTTCCTAACTGCAGGGTCTCCGCACACCTCAGTGTCCACACTTTGTTGTTACTATTTGTACCGTTTCTGGTAGAATCTCTTTATCTTGCTCTTGGGAATGCATTATAGGCGAGCATGAAATGTAAAGTATTTATTTAAATAAAAAGAAAACCTCTAAATTGGTCATTGAATTACCTCCCTGCAACTTTAGAGTTTGTGACATTTCTTGACCTTGCTAGTTCTTTCATTAGATCTGTGCAAGATCTAGACATCTGGTTAAGGGTTTTAAGCAGACACAACTATGAACCTCAGGAACTGTATCACTATTACTGTCGGTCATAACAAAACTTGTCCTAACCAGTTTGGCTCAGTGGATAGAGTGTCAGCCTGCGGACTCAAGGGTCCCAGGTTCGATTCTGGTCAAGGACATGTACCTTGGTTGCGGGCACATCCCCAGTGGGGGGTGTGCAGGAGGCAGCTGATCGATGTTTCCCTCTCATTGATGTTTCTGGCTCTCTATCCCTCTCCCTTCCTCTCTGTAAAAAATCAATAAAATATATATATTTTTAAAAAATGTATTTAAAAAAACAACAAAAAAAAACCCTGTTTCTTCCCCCAAGTACATGACCCACAAGGATATGAACTAATGACGAGAAACTGTTTTTGTACACTGTACATCCTTAATAATTTTACACGTATCAGATAGGGGTGCTCCTTATCTTCCTTTGTACAGACAGCTGAAATAAAGCACTCTGTCAATCTGCTATTTCAAAAAAATTTTTTAAAAAAAGGTGGTTAGGAAAGATTTTATTGGAAAACAGTCTGCAAGTTTCTCAAAAAGTAAAAAATAAAATAAAATAGTTACCATATGACCCAGCAATTCCACTCGTAGGTATTTACCAAAGAGAAATGAAAACATATGTCCACATAAAACTTATACATGAATGTTCACAACAACATTATTCATAGAAGCCAAAAAGTAGAAACAACACAAATGTTCATCAACAGATGACTGGAGAAACAAAAGGTGGTAGAGCCACACAATGGAATATTATTTGGCCATAAAAAAGAACTAAGTGCTAATACATGCTACAACATAGATGGACCATGAAAACTTTATGCTAAGTGAAAAAAGCTAGTCACAAAAGACCACATATTATATTATTTCATTTATAGGAAATATCTGGAATAGACGAATCTATAGGGGCAGAAAGTAAATTAGTAGTTGTCTAGGGTTGTAGGTGAGGGATTGGAATAATGAGTGACTGTTAATTGATTCACAAACTGTGGGATTCTGTAGAATATTAAAGAGCAGAAATCACAAAAGCTATAAAAATACAGACTTCAGAGTGTCTGAGCTTTATGAGCAGAAGATAAAAGGGAGAGACCTAAGATAAAAGGGAGTGATCAATCCAGGTTGTACCAACACAGGATATAGAAAAGAATTACAGGATGACATAGACTTCCAGGTGAGAGTATAAGAATATCTAGACCAAAACCAGGAGAAAGAAGAGAATCAAGCCTCATGAGTTTTCATCAAAACCTTTGAAAGGAGGGATTGGTGTTTAACAGATGAATTCTAGCGTGATCCATCTTATACGTGTTTATACTTCTCAAATTCTACTATAATCGGTCAAAATAGAATTGGGGATGGAGAGAGGCAAAGGGGGGAGGGAAAGAGAGAAGAAGAGAGAAAGAGAGAAGGAAGAGAGAGAGAGAAGTAATAGTTTAGATTCAGATGTTGCCCTTGTGATCAAACGCAAAAAGTTAAATAATAAATAAATAAATAATGGCTGCAATAGTTTGCAGCTTCTTCCAAGAAGAGTAAGAGTATTTTCTCCATCTCCTGATTTGGCCATGTGACTTGCTTTGACCAGTGAATCATTAGCAAACGCAATGCTTGAAGAGGCTGGAAAAGTGCTTATGCACTGGGATTCATCTTCACTATTGTTGCTTTTAGAACTCAGCCGCCATGTGAAGAAACCTGAGCAAGCCTGCCAGATACTGGAGACATATGCCCCAGTTGCCCTGTTGCTCTAGTCAAGTGACAGATGTCTAACCCCAAAGCCCATATTCATAATCAAAGCATCACCATCATCATCACCACCACCACCATCATCATCATCATTATAGCATCTACTCTCATTATTATTCATGTAGTATATACTCTCTCTCAACATGTTAAGGGTTGGAAAGAGAAAAGAGCACATCACAATTAGAGTCTGAAAACTAACCAATGCTTTTCTCTATACGGGGCTTTGGTAAAGGTATACATCTTTTTTGAACCTCAGTTTCCTCAAGTGGGAATTAGACCTAACCATAGGGTTCCTGGGAAAAATAAAAACATGGAAAAGTTATCTCTTTAAAAAAAATGATTTCAGAGAGGAAGAGAGAGGGAAAGAGATAGAAACATCAATGATGAGAGAGAATCATTGATTGGCTACTTCCTGCACACCTCCCCCACCCCACACCCTCCACTGGAGATCAAGCCCGCAACCCGGGCATGTGCCCTGACCAGGAATTGATCTGTGACCTCCTGGCTTATAGGTCAGTGCTCAACCACTGAGCCATGATGGCCAGGCAAAAAGTTATCTCTTGACTTTTTTTTTTAAAAAAGGGCTTTCTTGACGTAAAGTGATATATGTCTGCAATTAATAAAGGGGATATGTTTTAAGCTAGCTCACCAGAAAAGTTTCTAAAGAATCTAACTTTAGCCCTAACCGGTTTGGCTCAGTGGATAGAGCATCGGCCTGCGGACTGAAGGGTCCCAGGTTCGATTCCGGTCAAGGGCATATACCTTGGTTGTGGGCACATCCCCAGTAGGGGGTGTGCAGGAGGCAGCAGATCGATGTTTCTCTCTCATCAATGTTTCTAACTCTCTATCCCTCTCCCTTCCTCTCTGTAAAAAAATCAATAAAATATATTTTTTTTAAAAAAAGAATCTAACTTTAACAATCCCTTAAAAATCAAGTAAAATATATTTGTTCTTCATAAAAAAAATTGTTACTTTTCCACCTTGTCTGTAGTGTCACAGAATAAGATGTGAAAGTTAAAATGCCATAAAAACTACATAGTGTTTCCGACTCTTTCAAAACTGTTCAACTACTAGGGTTGGGAGAGGAAAGTATGTGCTTTCTCAGCCTTTGAAATGCTTCCTGATTCTGTCATCTTCTTTTCATCTCAACATCAAAGTTGGGAAAAGCTCTTCCCCACCAAGGACAGGTGTATACATGCCACTCACTGAGGCACTTTGCTGCCCCATTAATCTGCCTCTTTTTCTATTTGCATCTTGAGAATCAAGCATCAGCCTTTTATTTCTCTTAGCTTTTTGCTGACCTGCACTCTCTCAGCTGGAAAGCTGCTGACACATTTTTACAGGTGATTTGGCTCATAAAAACAGCCAAGGAAAGGAATCAGGGAGAAGGGGCTTCACCAGAAGCATGGTCAGTGTATATGAAGTGCTGAAAATGGCAGAAATACACAAACACATATTTATTAACTTGTTAAGAAAAAAGAAGGGAGTTCCTTGCTTTCTGGATGACCTAACTCCCAACTCCCAGGGTCTTGTAACCAAGAGAAGTCAAAACACAGGGTATGGGAAAAATATGTGTTTGGGACTCATTCAAAAAATTCAAATTCAGCAAATAGGTGAATTTGAAAATTTTAAAATTTCCAAGTATTTACACTGTTCATGTACATGACATTTTTAATGGGAATGTTAGGTAACTCAAACCACCAAGAAATTCTGCTACCCTCACAGAGGCCTCTGGTGAACAGTGTATGAAAGTCAAGGAAAGGAGAAAATTCCCCAGTTGGCTCAAATAAAAAGATAAGCATGGAACAGACTGTGGAATTTCAGAGGGAAGGTGGGGGAGGGTGGGTGAGTGGGAAGAGATCAACCAAAGAACTTGTACGCATATATGCATAACCCATGGACACAGACAATAGGGTGGTGAAGGGCGGTGGGGATGGGGGGGATACTAGAAGAGGTCAATGGGGGGGGAGCGGGCAAGGGGATATGTAATACTTTCAACAATATAGATTTTAAAAAAATAAAAAGCCAAAATAAACTCACAGACACAAGACAAAGTTGAGAACAATATTCAGAGAAGGCAGGGTTTCAAAACTAGAAGAGACCACAAGATCATACCCCTAAGAAATTTGCAGAAATTTTGAGGACAAGCAACGTTAATGGGGTGTGAAATGGGAGTCCTGTCAGTGTACCTAGTTCTTAAGGGGTCAGACATGCCCAGCTGACACTTGGCTCACCCATTAACAGCCTCCCTGCTTTAGCTCCCAACCTGTGCATTCTTGGGGGTCTTGCATTCATATAGGTTCCCCCTGTTCTTAAGAGTCATAGCATCTCTTCATGGATGGCTCAATTGGATTCTTTTGACACCCAACGTCTTTTGGCTTGTTCTGATTTGCAAGTTCATACATGGGAACAGTCATGAACACATGTGTATGCTTCATTTTCCTTACCAGTTTTCCCAATTAGATTGACCATCTAAAAGATTGCTTTCCCACCCTCCCCTTTGTTAGGATTTAGCTCTTTCTCTACCCCTTAGCTTACCCACAAGTTCTAGTTTGTCTGGAATCTCACGTACCCCTTAGGAAAAGAAATACTACCACATCCAAAAGGTGTAAAGGTCCCAAGGATAACTTGATCTGGCAAGTCACTGAATATGTTGGTGTACATGCCACCCCAAGGGAGGGCAGAATAGCTTTGACAGACAGCTACACGGCCAGACGGATAGATAAAATCAAGGTTAAGGAACTGATATTGATAAAACACACAATAATGATAATAATAATTCTTATATAGAATGCCATTAATTCTTAGTCAATTATTTCAATTAGCTATTTACAGATAACACAACAGAAGTCCAGAGAGGGTAACTCAATACCCCATAGTCACTGAGCATGATAGTGCCAGGCTAGCACACTGGTTCCCTGACTCCCAGTTGCATGTTCCTACCATACACTCAATTACCTGCACCCTCATTTTAGCCCTGAATTCTTTGAAATCAACCATGTGAGTAACAACAGGTAAGTCTGGTCAGACTGGTCCAGTTAATGGCAAAGTTGCTGAAAACCAAAGTTGCCCGTTGGTACCCAGCATTGCAGGGTGTGGTCATTCCAGCACACAGCAGGAGGACAGGATCTCCCCACCAATGTCTATGGACAGACAGGAGCAAAGGAAGGCTAAGGGATAATTGCGGATATGTGAACAATTTAAAAAACCTAGCTGTACCAACTTCTATAAAACTATGACGGACTCTCGAGGTCTATTTCATTTTGGATTTGTAAGAATTTATTACAAACGCCCTCTTCTCTTTAAATTGGATTTTCTAGATGCTAAATCCCCATGTCATCCTCTCTACTAATCAGAAAATGCAAGGAAAACTCATTTTCTCAGCACCACATGAACACTCAGGTGCTTAACAAAAAGACTGGTTATAACCAGAGGTTTTCTTAAATAGAAGTAAAGTTTGTGAACTGGAGAATTTGTCTCAACCTCTTTGACTTCTCCTGCTCCCCCAGCATGAGGGAATGCGGACCCCTGGGAGAAAGGGACTGAATAAGCACAAGACATCAGACGTCCTTTTGGAAATTTCTGATGATACAGAAACACCCCACCTGTCAGCCTCTTCTACCATTCCTGGCCCCCTCCATCCTTCTTTCCCTTTGGAATTTCACAAGGATATTAAATCATGGAGGAACCGTCTATCAAGGCGTAATGGAACTTTTTCATCCCTGGGTCATCCTGTTGGACTGCTGGCATCTGAGGCTTCCCCTTCAGCAGCTCCAGCCAGAAATAGTGAGAACCAAGGGGACTGTTGTCCACCTCTGCCTCCTGTTTAGGATCATTATAGTGGCGCAGAATAAGTCGTTTGTTGAATCCCTCTTTCTTCAGCTTGGCTGCTTCTGTTTTGCTGTTCAAAAGAAAAGAATTTGAGACTTGGCTAATTGCTTGGTTTTATCAAAGGCTGGAGGATGGCCAATGGCTGTTCTAATGGGCTTTTTTTATTTTTAATACTCACCTGAGGATATCTTCATTAATGAGAGAGAGAGAGAGAAACATCTCTCAGTTGCCTCCGCTCAGACCAGAGATGGGACCTGTAATCTAGGTATGTGCCCTGACTGGAAATTGAACCCACAATCTTTTGGTGTTTGGGACAATGCTCCAACCAATGGAGTCACCCAGCCAGTGTTTAATGGGCTTCTTTTAAATCAAGATATCTGGATTTTGAAATCCTTAGCTGAGCATTTAAGGAGTGCCTGCCATTTTTAAAGAGTTATTGAGCACCCACTGTGTGTGAAGCACTATACCAGAGGCTGTAGGAACTGCAGGACTAGTAAGTAGCCTTTGTCCCCATAGGAGCGGTATGACACATGTGGCACAGGCTTTGGATGAGAACTGAGATGAATCCTGGCACTGCCACTTGGGACCACTGAAAGTAAGCCAAGTACTAAACTATGAGCCTTGCTTTCTTCATCTGTAAAATATGGATAGCAATACCTCACAGAATTGTAAGGAATCGCTGGTTAATGCACGGACCTCAGTATTTAGCATGCACTCTATAAATACTAGTTGTTTTCATTACATTTTAGTGGGGATTATACACATACATGTTTATTAATAATAAGGTAATAAAGAGGAAGATTAGGTAAATACGAAACAACCTCGCTTCTAGGTTTTAGACTAGACCCTGAAATTAAGGTAGCCTCTTAGGACATTCATTTAACCATCCACAAATATTCACTAGGTGTCTTCCACAGGCAAAATTCATGAGAAAGATGCTATCTATTTCCATTCTAAAGAGAGCGCCCAAGTTATGCAGCTGCATGGGAGAGCCAGGCTTCAGTGTATGCATATTCACTCCAAACTCTCTACTCGAATCTCTCCACTTCACAATACTATTTCCCACATTTCTAGTGTTGGAGCTGTGGGCACAGTATGAAATGCAGACCCGCCAGGGCTCTGTATCTGAGGGTCAGTCATGAAGCAGACCTCCCTAGTTCTTGCCCAGCTTCCTACACACTCGTGTACCCAAGTAGCAGGTAGTTGTTGGCAACATGCCAGTAGAAGCCTCCAGAGTCAGGCTGGCAAAGCAGAGGTCATACACTAAAGAGACAGTCTTAGTTCTCTTGGAGACCAACACCACCTGCTTAATAACCACATGGGCTTCTGGCTTGCTTTTACTCAGTAATCCCAGCAACCAAAAGTGGGCTGCTGGGCTTCTCTATTATTAAGACAAAATATGGGCATTTAATGTGGGAGATCCATGATCAACACTAGAGAATAATCAGAAGTGTCAGGAATGTAACTAGGGGAAGGAGGAGCCACCTTCCCAGAGAAGAGTAAGCAGTTTGGACATTTCTAACAGCATCATAGAGTGGAACTCAAGACACACAAACAAGCCCTACCTGTTTTGGTTTAGTGGATAGAGCACTGGCCCTCAGACTGAAGGGTCCCTGGTTTGATTCAGGTCAAGGGCACATAGGACAGTTGCAGACTCCATCCCCGGCCCAGTGGTGGGCATGCAGGAGGCAACCAATCGATGTGTCTCTCTCACATTGATGTTTGATGTTCTCTCTCTGTTTTAACCCCTCCCTTCCACTCTCTCTAAAAATCAATGGGAAAATATCCTTTGGGTGAGGATTAACCAAAATAAAAAATAAACAAAATAAATAAAAAACCCAAACACACAAACAAGCAAATCTCAGTAACAACATAAAAGAATGTATAAGGTTGCCCTCAGCAAGTCCTTTCAGATTTAGAGCAGATTCAAACATGAATCCTTGATGTTTTTATCTTAAGTTGTACTTGAAAATTCCTGAAATTGAGCTGGCATATCTCAAGGAGAGTCTTGGAATATTTGGAAGATATAGTCTGAATGCGTGTGCTTATCAGTTGAGTATGAGATCTGGGGTGTGGGAAGAGTTATGATGAAAGAAGAGTTTTTAAAGGTTTAAAAATAAGTAATTGAAAATAATACAGCTGATTAATAAAAGGCGGGAAAGGTACAACAGCCACACCATTGTTGAGCACTGGGAGTGGGCATCCTAGCAATCATCAAGAGTCACTGGTTCTTCCAAGATGCAGGAGGGCATGCTTCCCAGTGAGCCTGTGGGGAAGGAACCAGAGCCGGGAGGATGGGCAAGGACCAAATCTGCCACTTCGTAGTTGGAAAATGGAAATGCTTAATGAACAGCAGCTTTCTCTCTTTCCCCCTTTGTCTCTTCTCTTGCTTTCCTCCTCCTGCTGCTCCTTCCTTTCTTTCCCATGTTCTCATGAAAACATATCCCACTGTCAAAAATGAGGTGAGTGGGCAAAATTATCGAATATGACAAAAGCAAAGCACTTATAGGTTGCCATTTTTTCCCACACCAAAACATGCATGCCTCTCCATTGATAAGCATCAATGGTACAATATCAGTTTAACAGCACACAATTATAATCCACTGGGAACACGAGTCTAATTACTATTCTCCAAGCCTAATCTTGGCCTTTCATTCAATGCCTAAACATGATTTTATTCTTCTGTGATTCTCCACAAATGAATCTTTTGGATTATTCTTAAAAGAAAGGTAAGAATGCCACTAAAGTGTAAATATCTATAATCATTGGGAGAAAAAAGGCATACTCCACCTCCTTACCAATAAGACCAAAAATTAAGATAAAAAACTCCAGTGCAAAAAACCCCAACGCAAAATCTCTTGCATTCTATAAATGCCACATTACTTAAATAGTCAGAGTGGGCAGCTGTAATTCAGGAAAGTTCCCCATTACCCTTTTAAAAGCAGTGCTTCCTTTTCTAAAGAGTCTTTTAGTCATTGCTTTAAGACTAATCAGCTTCCCATGCCAGCAAAGAGCCTCTTTTCTGCTTTTTCTCAAAATGTTGGCAGTGGCCATGGTCTTACTCTCTTCTTGCTTAAGGACCAGAAGTTGGCCTCTGGTTTTTCCAACAGGTGATGATTACCAACACCAAGTTGATTAATTCAAAAAAGCAGTCCTAACACTTGCACATTTCTCAAAAGTTTCAGGTGATGGTCATCCCCAGGAAAAGTCATTGCTAGGACTTAAGGACACAGTCCTTCTCTAAGTCAGATGTTACCCAATTATGCCAGCCCTCTGGTATTTATACCACTCTAAGACAGAAGCTGGAATAGAAAGGGAACTATACCTCAAATTACCTCAAATCTAATAGGCCTAAGAGTCTAATAGTAAGCTAAATTCCTTACGGTGGGGGCATCCACTGAATGCAAGAATTGAAGAAATGTTTGGAGAATACCTATTACCATTTTATAGATGAAGGAGCCAAAGTACAGAAAAAGGAATATTTGCTATATAATAGTTACTGTTTAATGAGCATTTACTATAGCATTTTTTTAAATCTGCACCTGAGGATATTTTTCTATTGATTTTTAGAGAGAGAAAGACAGAGAAAGGTGAGAGAAACACATAGATTGGTTGCCTCCAGCATGCGCCCTGACCAGGGCCCAGGTTGGGGAGCAGCCTGCAACGGAGGTACGTGCCCTTGACTGGAACGAAACCCAGAACCCTTCAGTCTGCAGATCAATGCTCTATATACTGAGCCAAACTGACTAGGGCTTTCCTATAGTATTTAGCTGTATTATTTCATTTAATGCTTTCAACAATCCTATGTGGCAGATTCTAGTAGGATCCCTGTTTTATATGAGAAAAGGAAGCTAAGTACCCCAAATCCCATGGTTGGTAAATGGGAGCATGAAAACTGTGTAGACTCCAATCTTGGCTCTAGACCTTCACAGACAATGATCCTTGTACTCTGGTCACACAGCTAAGGAATGACAGGGTCAAGGTTAGGAGCAAGTCTGCGATTCCCAGGGTAGTGCTTTTGCATCACCAGGCTCTAACAGTGAATATGAGTAAAATCAGAGCACTTAGAGCTTCACCAGGTAAGGCCCAGAGATCTGACTCAGGCTCAGACAAAAGGTCTAGGTAGACCTGTCTAGAGAATGTGCCTTGGGATCTGGTCTAGAATGGAAGGGTTCACTAGGTTTGTTAGACCGGACTTCCTGTGATAAATCCAGAGTCTATATCAGTGTGGACTGCCACTGGGGTTAGGAAAAAACTCTTTCTTTCTGCCTTTAATTTTTTGGGGGTCTGACTTGATATTAAACATCTATAATGTCTGTGTAGCAAGTGTGGTAGAAATGTGGTAAGGTAAAAAGGCTGACAGTTCTGATTTGCCTAAAAATGCATTTCATCCAGCAAGCATACATTTAATTTCCATTGGTATCTCTAGCCCTGGTAACCAGGGGATGTTAGGATTCAGCTGCTTTGCTTGCAGAAATGTTTTATAATGCACAAACTGTAAAATTACCTGTGCTCTTTTTTTTTATACAGGTTTATCGTTAATGTAAATATATCTCTTCTTAAATAAATATATACACATATTTGAATTTGTCTCACCTGTGCTCTTTTTAAAGCTTGGATTTTGTATATGACAGATCCTTTGGGAACTAATTCTACCGGCTTCAGCAATTCTCATTGTTAAAAACAAACAAACAAAAAAACCACTCCCTTGCCCTGGATGATTTGGCTCAGTGGATGGAGCATTGGCCTGCAGACTGAAAGGTCCTGGGTTCGTTTCTGGCCAAGGGCACATGTCCGGATAGTGGGCTCGATCCCCAGTGTGGGGCATGCAGGGGGCAGCCGATCAATGATTCTCTCTCATCATTGATATTTCTGTCTCTCTCTTCCTCTCTGAAATCAATAAAAACATATTTTAAAAAACAACACACTTCCAGCCCCTTGACGTTATTACTATGGGTCATGCATAAAAGCACTTAACTCACCCCTACTTGTGTGCCAGCTAAATTCTCCTCCTCCATCTACACTGACTAGCTATCTCTACTTGGTTCTAAACCCACTGTTTCAAGAAACTATCTCATGGTATTGGGTTATTATTTAAAATGCTTTCTATTTGCTTAGTGTGTTAGTGTCCACAAAGCATGTTTATAAATATTGGGTTGCTTTAAGCTTCATAACACCCTGCTGTGGTAAGTAGAAGACATCTTATTATCCCTACATGACTAAAGAAACAGAGGTTCAGGGAGTCCACGTACTTACACAAGATCCCATGGCCCCTGACTAATGAACCTGAATGTTCTGACTCCAAGTTTGTCTTATTTTTTCCTTTATTTTTCAGAACAATTATATGTAAATAGCAAAACTGAGTGGGAAGTACAGAGAGTTCACAGGTATACCTCCTGAACATTTGGTTTTCTTTTCCTTAAAATATGCTGCCTGACTCACATTACTTTGAGGCCTTTATAAACTTGGAAAACTAATTCTATGTTCACCTGAAAGAATACATTTGTGAAAACTGGCTAAGACACTTTGATGTAGAAAGAGTAACAAGAGGAATTTTGCTGTATTAGATATTAAGATAATAATAACTAACATTTATTAAGTACTTTTGGGGGCTAGTAATATTTATAGCAATCCTAAAAGATAGCTACTATGACTGTTTCCATTTCACAGTTGAGGAAAGTGAGCAAAGAGAAGTTAATTGACTTTCCCAAAGTCACATGAATGAGTGGACCTGGGATTTTAACCCAAACAGTTGGGCTTCAAGGCTCTTTCTAAGACCATACTCTGCCTCTGATATTTTATAATCTGAATAATTAAAATAGCTGAAAACTTAATAGGCAGATTAATGGAATAGAACAGAAAGCTCAAAGGCAAACCTTAATGTATATAAGACTGATGATGTAATTAGGTTGAAAATTCAAATCAGTGGATAACAGAGAATATATTTAATATATGGCTCCAGAGAGATAATAATGTTGCGGTTAAATGCACAGGCTTGGTATTAGACAAACCTAAGCTTATATACCAGTTCACCCACTTAACTAGCTCTCTGACCTTGGCCTAAGAACAGCAACTTACTCATGGAAGCATATAAATTGCTTCATGTAGTGCTTTACACAAAACAAGCACTCAATAAACACTGGCTGTTAGCATTAGCACTCAATAAATACCAGCTATCATTATTTTTGGCACCAGAGGAATAAAGCTAGAATCTTATCCCCTCACACCACACACAACAAAATGTCCAGCTAAATGTAGAAAAAAGAAATAAAAAATAGGGTATGTCTACCTAATCTCAGAATGAGAAAAGGCTTTCCACTTATAAAACAATGGGGAAGCACAGCCGGTGTGGTTCAGTGGTTGAGTGTTGACCTATGAACCAGGAGGTCACGGTTCAATTCCCCAGTCAAGGGAAATGCCCAGGTTTGGGCTTAATCCCCAGTAGGGAGCATGCAACAGGGATCAGATTAATGATTCTCTCTCATCATTGATGTTTCTATCTCTTTCGTCTTCTCCCTTCCTCTCTGAAATCAATTAAATATATATATATTAAAAAAAATTTTTTTTAACCTTAAAAAAACAGGGAAAAATCTTAAAACAACACATAAATAATTATACAATAAGAAAAGTTAAAACACTGACATCTTAATCATAAAATTAAAAGGAGCCCTAACTGGCTTGGCTCAGTGGATAGAGTGTCAACCTGCGGACTCAAGGGTCCCAGGTTTGATTTCAGTCAAGGGCATGTACCTTGGTTGCGGACACAACCCCAGTAGGGAGTGTGCAGGAGGCAGCTGATCTATGCTTCTTTCTCATCGATGTTTCTAACTCTCTATCAATCTCCCTTCCTCTCTGTAAAAAATCAATAAAATATATTTTTTTTAAAATTAAAAGGAAATAAATTGCAGAAATGAATATTTATCACAAATAACAAAAGATTAATATACTTAATACTTTAAAATCTTAAATGAACAGGTAAGAAAGACTCTAAAACCCATAGGGAGAAAAGGTACAGAGATTAGGAACACCTGGTTCACAGAAGAAATATTTTTAAATATCAAAAAATACTTAGAGCCCTAACCAGTTTGGCTCAGTGGATAGAGTGTCAGCCTGCGGACTGAAGGGTCCCAGGTTCGATTCCGGTCAAGGGCATGTACCTTGGTTGCGGGCACATTCCCGGTGGGGGGTGTGCAGGAGGCAACTGATCGATGTTTCTCTCTCATCAATGTTTCTAACTCTCTATCCCTCTCCCTTCCTCTCTGTAAAAAATCAATAAAAAAATATTTTAAAAATACTTAGAAAGTTAAACCTCTCTAGTTAGTAAATAGACACTTAAGAGTATTCTTTGTCTATCAATTTATCAAGGTTGAATAACCTTAAGAATTACATTCAGTGCTAAGACTGTTGAGATGGCCTCTCTCACATTACTATGAAGGGCTAGTGGCAGGATTTTTCTAGAAAGCAATTTGGCAGTAACTTTCTAGAACTTTAAAAATGTTTATATACTTTAAGTTCCACTTCTAGGAATATTGCTTTAGGAAGGAATCAAGAAACAAAAAATATTTATGGGACCACTGAACAAATGTAAATATTCAATTAATAGGAGACTAGTTCAAAAAAGCAAGAAACATCCATGCAATAGACTTAATTCAAAGCAGCCATGCAAAATCTTATTTCTGAAGAATTTAACAGCATGGGAAAATGCTCATGTTATCAAAGAAAAAGCAGGACAAAATGGGATTCGAAAGATAGTATATAGCTTAACAGATAATATATAAACACGTAAAATACATAGCATTTAAATAGTACTTAACTACATGTATGGGTGTGTATGTGTTTATATATGTAGATAGACAAGGAGAGGTATAGAGCCTATGTGACCCTGGACAAGTCACCCTATCACCTTGCCTATTGTATTCATAATATGAAAAGGTATGTGCACAAACAAACCTTTCTCTTCCAGGTAACTCATGGAAAAGCCGGAGGAAAATATGTCAAAATGGTAAAAAAAAAAAAAAAAAAAAAAGGTATTCCCTTATTGAAAAGTTTGTTTTTTCTTCTTACGCTTTTGTAAATTTTTGAAAAATTTAAATACTAAGAATGTATCAAAATACATTCCTGCAAACAGTATGAGGCATTTTCACACAGAACTGGAGTAGAAACAAAGTGGGTAGACTTTGCTGTCAGATGCAGCTGGGTTTCAGCCCTGGCTCTGTCTTTGTCTTGCTGCATGGCTGAATGAATTGCCACAATCTGTGTCACATTAGTTTCCTTGTCTGTAAAATGGAGATGATAACTGTACCTCTCTCCTGGCATGGTTTTAAGGAGTATAGATAACATGTAAAGTGCTAGGTTGACTGTCTAGCACAGAGTATTTTGTCAATGCCTGCTATCGCTATCACCTCCTAATTCTTTTATTTGTCCCCTGTTGATTGTTAACTTGCTGAGATGTTTAGTTTCCAATTTTACATAAAAACAGGGACTGACTTTATGTTTCCTTAGAACAGTATTTTGCTCATAGCTGGCTTTTCTTTCCTTGCCTACTTCTGTTCCCCAACACTGTTACACACGATGCTGTACTGGTCATATGATAAGGCTGGTTGATAAGTCATGTGTCATAGAGAGACTTCCACGAGTTACCTGGAAGAGAAGGGATTGTTTGTGCACATATCTTTTCATATTATGAATGCAATAGGCAAGGTTAATAGGGTGGCTTGTCCAAGGTCACATAGTCTCTACACCTCTCCTTGCCTATCTACTGTATCATATGCCTCATAAAAATATATGATTCTGAAGACTGCAGAGGGCTCCCTACATTTGAATTATGGCTTCTTGTAGCTTCTTCACAGCAATATCGAGGACTGTCTTCCATTTCCGAATTTCCAATTTTGTGTGAGGATAGTGAAAGATCCAACCTTTAAAAAAAAAAAGACATTAACAAAAAAGGGATATTTATTTCAAAATTTACCCCAAGTCAGTACCCACTGGGTAAATCCTGCCCATCAGTCTACCAAAGCCTACTTGAAAAGGGAACCAAAATTCATTTATATTAAAGTATAAGTAATTATCATCTTAAGAATTACCTGTCCTCAAGGAGATTTGCTCTAAAATGTGATCAAGACTTTAACTCCAAGGAATTAAACCCCTATGATGACATCTGAAGTATTAGAGGCCTTTCAAGAATCCCTACACACACTGTAGACCTACAGATGAGGGTCTTCAGTTTCCCCGTCTCAGGAAAGAATCCTGTGTACTGGAGAGAACATTTTATTGGTAGTCTATAGATTTGGGTCCTTTTCCTGACTATCCCACTAATCTGTTTGGGTACTCAACATCTTTAGGCTTCAGACTGCTCATCTGCAAAATGAAAGAACCGAATGACATGATCTCTAAGGTCTTTCAATTCTAATGTTTTCCCCTTGTAAAATTCTACCCTTGTAGTGAACATATGGAAAGATTCACAGATGGCTTGAAGGAATTTGGAAGAGAAAACCTTGCATTTTCTTTATTCCATCCTGCCAAGTCTAGTCCATTCAATAAACCAGTAAATTACATATGAAAGAAAAATTTAAAAATGAAGATATGAAAGGGGTGGAAGGCATGGAATCTTACCACACAAGCACTGTTATTGTTTTGGTGTAGCTTCTTCCAAATACTGTTTATTCTGTCTTCAGATCTTTTGCCTTAACCACAAACTCTTCATTTGGCCGTAACTCCAGGTGAAATTTTGAATCAGGACATTGTATCTCTCCTCTGCTTTTGTCCTCACCTCCATTCCCCACCCTAACTCTAAGTTAAGGGCAGGATTTCTTCTCTTCCAAAACAATGGATCTAGTTGACTTTTCTTACTTTGAGGTATCGTCCCAATCCCATCCCATGGGATTCAAGTTGGGCTGACAATAATACGTTCTAGCAACCCGTGAGCCAATGACCCAGGTTTGACCAACAGCATTACTTTATTTCCCAGGCCACCATGATTGGCCATAGGGTGGGCACTTGACTCAAACAGAGCTAATCTGAGTCATTATTTAGAACTGAAACATGGGCCTTGGGTGGGGAGGGGAAGGAGAGCACTTTCTTCCCAAGCTGGAAGCACATGAACCTATGGCTGGCAGTGACCATCTTTACAATGTGGGGTGAGCCTAACTGTAGAATTCAACCAAGCAGAGGTGGAAAGAACATGGTGAGTCCCACATCCTGCCTTGGACACTGTTCCTGCAATTTTTTCTTTAATCTTCTGAGCTAGCCTCTAAGACATGAGCAAATAATTCTCTTGTTGCTTAAGCGCGTGTGAGTTGGGTTCTTGTGGCTTACTGCCTAAAGATTCCAGGCTCATCCCTATAGGACCATGAGAACCATCCTAACTTTAGACTGGAAGGACTGAACAAGCACCATCACTGGATTCCTTAGGATTAGATAATGTAAGTTTTTCCAGCCTCCCACTTTGAGATTTCAATCTCTGACCTTCAATGATAAGGCCTTGCTCCTTGTTCACAGATTATCTAGTTGGCTGGCCACCGCTTGCCATCTAATTGCTTGCTGGGGGATTTCCAGTCATTGGATTTTACCCACGTATTTGGATTCTTCGACATTTTCATCTAGAATTCTCTTATTACCTTAAGATTTACTTCATTCCTATTTGCTGTTTTACCATACCTACTGGCTTGTTCTTAGCATATGCACCTGGGTCTAGTTCCTCAATATCTGTCCCACCCCAGTGAGACAGTTCTAGTTTTAAATTTTGATCCCTCAACACATCAAATTCAGAAGTATAAATAGAGAATGGGGAGCTGTGGAAGGAACACTTATCACTAGACACATTATCTAAAAGCAGATCCTTTCAACTATTTTTAAGGTTGTTAGGACTATGATAAAAAGGCCATGAAAAGCAAATCTATAAGACATATGGCAGTCAGCCTCAACTCCTACTGCTTCTCTGAGCTACACAGCTATGTTATGTTTGTGTCCCAAGGAATAATAAGTTTTCCTTTTCCTAACAACCCATATCTTATCCCTTTTATAACTTCATTCAGGTATAGAGAGCATTCTTTCTAGATTTGGGCAACCATAAACTTTCTTGGGCAGTCTCCTTTATAACATGTAAACAATTTAAGAATCTATTTTTGCCTTTAACACAGAAGCCTTGGTTCCAAACCCAGAATGGTAGGTTTTTGTGTTGGAAGGGCCCTGGGTTGCTCTTCTAGGGACACAAATGTCATTGTTACGTAAACTAGTTCCTCAAAATCATGAAGGAAAAACTCACAGTGTACAGGAGTGGAGAAACCAGGAAGAGCTGGGTTTGATGGTGATACCTTTGAAAAGTTTGACTTCAAATCTATGATTGTGGTACTAAGAGGATGTCTGGGAGAAAGGCTTCAAATTCAGTGAATGGAAGTGATCCTCACTCTGGTTGCTCATCAAAATTGACCCTGATTTGGGTGGGTAAAGGGATCTTACCATTTTCTAAACAGACCTTGGACGACAGTGAGAAGTGAATGACAAAAGGTAAATTGCTTTCCTGGAAGATCTGGGAATACTGCTTTTGGCTGAAAACAGCTAAGGGAAAAAAGAAGAAGGTGAGGAGAGAAGGAGAAAAAAAGCTTTTTGCTAGATTGTCAAAAAAAAAGCCCAATTGTCAATATTTTAATATTTTTATGAAGGTATTAGTTTGGTGAAGACCAAGGGAGGGAGAGGCAGGGGTGGGTGGAGATGGGCAAAGGGGAAGGGGCAGAAAGGGGGACACCTGCATTAATTTTTTAAATTAAAAATTAAAATTTTTAATTAAAAAAAGAGAAAAGCATAAAAATACACTGGAAGAAAATATTTGCAAAGCACATTTACAACAAAGGACTAATATCTAGAATATATAAAGAACTCTGAAAACTCAACAATAAGAAAGTAAACACCCTAGCCAGTTTTGCTCAGCGGATAGAGCATTGGCCCGCAGACCGAAGTGTTCCGGGTTTGATTCTGGTCAAGGGCACGTACCTCTGTTGGGTTGCAGGCTTCTCCCCAGCCAGGGAGCTGGTCAGGACACATGCAGGAGGCAACTAATCGATGTGTTTATCTCACATCGATATTTCTCTCTGTCTTTCCCTCTTTCTTCCATTCTCTCTCTAAAACAAATAATCAATGGAAAAATATCCTTGCGTGAGGATTAAAAATTTTTTTCTCTTAAAAATAAAAAGGAAGCAAACAATCCAGTTAGAAAATGAGCAAAGACATAAAAGACATTTTAGTGAAGAGGATATATAGAGGACACATATTCCACATCATTAACCATTAGAGAAATGCAAATTAAAACCACAGTGAAGGACCTAGCTGGGTAGCACAGTTGGTTACAGTGTCGTCCCAATATACCAAGGTTGCAGGTTCGATCCCAGGTCAGGGCACATACAAGAATAAAGCAATGAATGCACAAATAGGTGGAACAACAAATCAATATTTCTCTGTCTCTCTCTCTCTCTTTCTCTCTCCCCCCTTCCCCTCTCCAAAACCAACCAAAAAAAAAAAAAAAAAAAAAAAAAAAAAGAAAGAAAAAATAAGCATGAATAAAATCCCACTGAAATATCATTACATGTCTATAAGAATGGCTAAAATAAAAAAGGTGATGACATACACATACTGGCCAGGATATCACTCATACATTGCTGATGGAAATGTAAACAGTACAGCTTCTCAAAAAAAGTTTGGCATTTAACAGTTTGGCACTTAACATATAAAAGTAAACATGAGATTAACATGCGGCCCAGCACCGGTCTTCTGGGTATTTATCAAAGAGAAATCAAAACTTACATTTACACAAAAACATGTATACAAGCAGCTTTCCTAATAGACAAAAGGTGGAAGGAAGGAAGCAAGGAAGAAAAGGAGGGAGGGAGGGAAAAATCCAGATGTCCTTCAAGGAGTGGATGGTTAAACAAACTGTGATACATTCATACTGCAGAATATAGCTAAGCAGTAAGAAGGAACAAATTACTGATACATGTAACCTGGATGAATCTCTGAGAATTAAGCTAGTTGGAAAAAAAGGCTATCACCAAAAGTTATACATTGTATTATTCCAGTTCATATAATCTTGAAGTGACAAAAATATTAAAATGGGGTACACATTGGTGGTTGCCAGGGTTAAAGAAGGGGTAGGGCAGGAGGAACATAGTCTTGCCTGCAAAAGGACATGAGTGATCCTTGTGGTAATGCAAGCATTTTGAATCTTGACTGCATCAATAGCCTGGTTGCGATACTATACAATAGTTTTGCAAGATGTTGCCATGTGGGGAAAAAATGGGTAAAGGGTATATGTGATCTTTCTACATTATTTGTTATAACTGCATGTGTGTCTGTAATTACCTTAGAAATAAAAGTTTAATTTTAAAAAATTACTTATGTGGTAGCATCATTTTTCTGTTGGACCATGCTACTGTTGAGAGAATTTGTAAGATCTCCTGAGGCAAAGGCTTCACATCACATGGATATGAAGCATAATGAATGCTATATTGAACTGGAAGCACTATAAATTTTTCTGTCTGCCCAGCCAGTGTTGCTCAGTGGTTGAGCATCGACCTATGAACCAGAAGGTCACGGTTCGATTCTCAGTCAGGGCACATGCCTGGGTTGTGGGCTTGATCTCAGTGTGGGGTGGGCAGGAGGTAGCCGATCAATGATTCTCTCTCACCACTGATGTTTCTATCACTCTCTTCCTCTCTGAAATCAATAAAAATATTTTTAAAGAATTATGTCTTACTGCTGACATTCATGAATTACTAAAATGATTAACAAAACCAAATATCACTATAATGTAACCAAATACAATGTTCTGTCAATATCTCACTTGCTACTTTTATTCTTTTTTCCTTATTTATAAATCTAATTAGTAATTTTTACTTACATATTTTTTTCATAGGATTAATTGATACAAAATGGTGGCGATCTCTTTTTGTTTTCATCAGAAGATTTTCCTTATGACGTTCTATTGGGTAGTTGCTGATTTTGTCAACTATCATGGAACTGGAATTGTTTTGCAAGGCATCCTGTTTCTTCAACATTGACATTTTGGTTTCATATTTATTAGCTTCTTCAATGAGATCATGCCAACTGTAATTCACAAGATTTACAATTCCTACAGGGAAAGCAATATTATACTCAGCATACATCTGCAATGTCTCCCCAAGTTCACACAGTAATTCAGCAGCAATGTCTTTGTATTCTTCAAGCAGACTCTTTTGCATTTGTATTTTGGAGAATGTAAGGTTAGCAGAAAGCTTGGAAACAACAGGAGTTGGTGAGATGGCAAATGGTTGAAACGCATATTGCTTCTTCAATGCAGCTACTATAGATAGACTTGGTTCCTTATCTACTTCTTTAGCGTTAAAACTCTCTGTAGTACTGTAAAAAACATATGTGAGACTTAAAGATATTGAATACTTTTTAACCTAGTAATTTGACTTCTAGAATCCATCTTAAAATATAATTTAAAAGATGTATAGTAGCGGTTCTCAACCTGTGGGTCGCGACCCCTCTGGGGGTCGAATGACCCTTTCACAGGAGTCGCCTAAGACCGTCGGAAAACACATATATAATTACATATTGTTTTTGTGATTAATCACTATGCTTTAATTATGTTCAATTTGTAACAATGAAATTGGGGGTCACCACAACATGAGGAACTGTATTAAAGGGTCGCAGCATTAGGAAGGTTGAGAACCACTGATGTATAGCATCTATGTATAAAATTGCAAACTGTAACCTTATTTTTTTATATTAGTAAAAATTGAAAAGAACCTAATAGCTCATAGGAATATTGCTAAGTAAGTAAATAATTCCATACCCGAACAATGTATAGCAATAAAAATTGTTTGTAAAATTTCTCTTAATAATTTTGGGAAATGATTATGTTATATAAAAAAGATACACAATTACATATGTGGAATGATCTCAATTGTATAATGTATATATCATATATCTGGTAATAAAGAGCCTAAGCAAATGTCCACCGAAAAGGAAATTAATTGTGGGATTACAGAAGTCATTTTTTATTTTCTCCTTTTATACTTCACTAGAGGCCTGGTGCACAAAAATTTGTGCATTCAGGGGGAAGGGGGGTCCCTCAGCCTGGCCTGTGCCCTCTAGCAGTCTGGGATCCCTCAGGGGATGACCACCTGCTGGCTTAGGCACGCTCCCCGGGGGATTGGGCCTAAGATGGCAATCAGACATCCCTCTGGCAGCCCTGCAGCCCTCGGGGGATGTCCACTTGCCAGCGGGGAGTAGGCCTAAACTGCAGTCGGACATCCTTAGCGCTGCTGAGGAGGCAGGCGAGGCTCCCACCACCACCGCTGTACTGGCAGCCATCAGCCTGGCTTGTGGCTGAGCAGAGCTCCTCCCATGTGAGAGTGCCCTGACCACCAGAGGGCAGCTCCTGCATTGAGCGTCTGCCCCCTGATGGTCAGTGTGTGTCATAGTGACCAGTCATTCCCTGTCCTTCTGCTGTTAGGGTCAGTTTGCATATTACCCTTTCACTATATAGGATAGAGGCCTGGTGCAAGGGTGGGGGCTGGCTGGTTTGCCCTGAAGGGTGTCCCGGATCAGGGTGGGGGTCCCGCTTGGGTGCCTGGCCAGCCTGGATGAGGGGATGATGGCTGTTTGCACCTGGTCACACCCCCTTCAGGGTGGAGGTCCCCACTGGGGTGCCTGGCCAGTCTGGGTGAGGGGCTGAGGGCCATTTTCAGGTTGGCGGGTGACTGAAGTTCCCAACCTCTCCTTTTTTTCTTTTTCTTTTTTATTCTGGGATTTATTTACCTTCTATGGCTGTCACTGGAGCTAAGAGCTGGCTTTAGCTCTGAGGCTCAGCTCAAGCTCTGAAACCTCGGCTGCTGAAAGCAGGTATCTGGGCTTTGTTTAGCTTCTATAATTGAAACACTGTTGCAACTCCAGCTCTGAGGCCCGGCTGGCTGAAAGCAGGTTTCTGGGGATTGTTTAGCTTCTATAATTGCAACATAGTTGCTTAGAGTGCAACTCAGAGCTGGGCGGCGGCAGGCGGGGAACCTTGGCTTCCTCCATCACTGGAGCAAGCAAGCCTCCTGTTCGCTTCAGCTGCCTGGCTGCCGGCCGCAATCTTGGTTAGCAGTTAATTTGCATATCGTCCTGATTAGCCAATGGGAAGTGTGTCAGAGGTATGGTTAATTACCATGTTTGTCTATTATTAGATAGGATGCTCTTCTAACTTTTCCACAATAAATATTTTTTTTTTTATACACAGAAGAAAAAAACCAATATATGTGTGTCATTTATTCATTTGTTTAATTATAAGATAAGACATAGATCATTTCTTCCAGAAAGGCTTCCCTGAATTTCTTAGGTTCTAAGTCTACAAACTTATTGTGTTCCCTTAACCCAGTGGTCGGCAAACTCATTAGCCAACAGAGCCAAATATCAACAGTACAACCATTGAAATTTCTTTTGAGAGCCAATTTTTTTAAACTTAAACTATATAGGTAGGTACATTCAACTTTAAATTCACGGTTTTCATCTTCCATTTTTCTTTGCTGCTTCTTTGTAGCCATCTCAAACAGGGCACCTAAAAAAATGTTTCATTTTATAATAATAAAGCCACCAACACAAAAGAATTACAATTCTTAAATTGATGACAAAAAACTGTAGGATCTGCAGCTGGTTGGAAAAATTCAGGTAACTTTATGCTTCGAGTAGGTACTTTTGTCACCTGTGCGCGATTTGCGAAGGCGACTAGCACTAACCACTGCTCCATGAGACTGCTGACTGACTGGCTCACTAAACTCGTGCATGAATCGCGCGCTGTGTATCTCACGGCCCACCTGTGCCGCTTCTCCTGTCACCCTACCAACCGACACCCCCCACTTCTTCTAATGACACTTCTTCAAAATAGACTCGCCTAGGCCGAAAACCGACTTCTGTGCATGGGCCACAAAGTTTCAATCACATTGTACGTGCACACCCACACGTGGTATTTTGTGGAAGAGCCACACTCAAGGGGCCAAAGAGCCTCAGGTGGCTCTCGAGCCTCAGTTTGCCGACCACTGCCTTAACCCATCCAACACACCCCTATCAGATATTACTGTATTTGAGAGAAGACAAAAATCCAAACAGGTAACCCTCATATTCCCCACGACCACCTTTGTAGGAGGTTAGGTGCAGGGAGAGGGAATTTACCAAATCTAGAAGAGGCATTTGAGAAGCTTAGAGACTGATGAGGGCTTTTGATAGCTGGGACAGTTTGGAGCGGGAGCGCTATGGTTTTAAAATTTGGAATGTTCTCCTCTAAACCAGTTGTTCTAATATTTCTAAGACAGCTACCCTCGTCATCACAATTTCTTTATTACTGAATGTATTAGGGTTATATTGATTAGTAAAATTATATAGGTTTAAAGTGTACAATTCTATAATACCTCACATGTATATCATGCCTCTTTCCAGGAGCATTTATCACCCCTATAAACTCTCCTACCTCCCCCCACTCCTCTTTGTCATTACAATTTCAAAATGTTTTCTTTCACCAAGTCAACGTGGTGAAACATGTCAACACCACCCGATGGACTTTATAAAATGGTACAGAGCACTAAAGAGTCACATCTTTCTCCTAAATGGTGGTACATTAACATAGTTTGAAAAATAACATTGGTTTCTCAACTGAGGGATTAATGTAAAAAGGCAACTTTTTTAGATAAAAAGGTATTTGAATTGGAATAAGAATTGTAAATGTAGATCTTTAGCCATTGGTTCTATTTTCACATTAATATTTTTTAGATGGAAGACCTATTTTTGAAAACTTTAAACATAATATTATAACTCATACATTTCTATATCCTGTTATAATAAACTTTCAAAGTTGCTCTCATAACATCATTTCTCCAAACTCTAATACTAAACCTATGAGGCAGCTACTGTGTTATCTCAATTTTATGGTAATTTCTTGCCGGGGTCCAACCCCAGCAGGTCCAGGGGTTCCCAAAGGCATAGACGGAGTCGGCGAAGAAGGAAGGACACGGAGACAGTGTTCAGTTGATCAGCAGCCTAGCCAGGATCTCCAGCCAAGTTCTGGTCTGGATCTCCAGAGAGGTTCTGCTGTTTATTGTCTTGTTACATCCGTATTTATACCAGTTGATTTTAATCCTGTCAATTTCTATTACAAAGGTTAGGGCGTTTCTTATCTCCATTCCAGGGAGTAAAGATTATGTAGCTTAAGCATGATTGTTTGTAGTTAAAGTGATTAACTACCTGCTTGGCACTTAGTTAAGGAGTTTCATCCCCTCCCTAACTTCAGGGAAAAATCCCTACCTGGGGAAACAACCTTTCTCGGAGAGGTGACCTTGGTTAAAACACACAGCACTAAGGGGAGCAAACATATTAAGAACAGCATGCTATATACGCCAGGTCCCTTGAAACATATGCTGTGCAGATGTTTCTATCCTGCAGCGACTATGTCAAGCAGCAAGGATGGACCGGCTTCCGGCAAATTCCCCCTTTTTTATTTTTTAAATGATAGCGCATGCAAATCAGTGGCCACCTCTCAGATTGGGCCATTTAAAACTCAGAAGAAGACTGGCAAGCAATGACAGTGAGTATAACTTTAAACATAGTGGATGGAGTGCACAAGGAGCCCCATTCCTGTAGAAGGTTGCTGGCCTCTTCAGTCAAGGGATTACAGCTGTCCTCAAGTTGTTGGTTTGATTGTCTTTGTTGGTCTGGCTAGCAGGCGGCATCACTGGCGACGGGCTTCCCGAAGCGTCAGCGAGTTGAAGGGCTGCATCAAAGGGACCATTAGGGCCGTGGTTGATGGTGGTGTTGGTGTCCAAGGAGGAGTAAGCTGTGCCCTCTGGGTCAGCTGATATGGAAGATGGAGGGTAGTAGAGAGAAAAAGAAGAGAAAGCAAAAGAACTACAAGGCATGGAAATGTTTAGAAAAAAGAGGGAGAAGAAAGGGAAGAAGGCAGCATCCTGACACAGCCCTTTCCTTCAGCTGACCCTTTCCCCGTGGTCCAAGGTAGAAATGGGAAACAAGTCCTGTTGCAGTGAGAGGGCAGCTACTGTCAGCCAGTCTCTGTCTTTACCTGGGTCCCGATCTGAGCTGGGCATGGGAAGCGGGAAG